CCCCTGCTTGTGCTCTGTCTCTCTCTGTCTCTCAATAATAAATAGTTGTTAAAAAATTTTTTTAAAAAACAAAACATGTACTGTCTCTCAACAGAAAAAGTTTGCAGCGCCCCCTGCTCCAGCTATCAAAAAAAAAGTTAAATGATCTATAGCCATCTTACTTTGCATTTCTTTATTAGATAATTATTAAAACTAAAATGTTAACATTTGTTTCATTGGCATTGTGGAATTGCCTCACCACCATTTTGTCCCTCCTAGTCATTGTCTAATTATAACTCTTAATACCTTGCCTTTGGTAGTCTTTGCTCTGTAGTTCTCCCATTACTATCTATTCATGCTTGCCTTTTTCTAAGATCTGCTTTTATGACCTTCCTGTTTTAATATGATTGTAAACCATCCTTTGATCCTGACATTTTGTCAAAGTAATCAGCAGCTGACTCATCGTCTGACTTCTGTCTTTGCTGAACAAGTCAGGTTTTAAAAGCCTATGATAGGACCACCAGCCACATCTATCTCCTTTTATCAGGAGAGCAAAAACTTTTCCAGAAACCCTCAAAAACTGCTGCTTTAACATTACTGGCCAGAATTATGTCACAGAACTGCCTGGTCCAAGGAAGTTACGTAGTTTGTGGCTCTGTGTCAGAGGCATGAAGCATCCAGCATAGTCTGGTGGACCTTAGCATTTATATGAACCAAGGATTGGACTAATTTAACTGTAAGTAGCCAGATAGTATTTTAGGCCTTGCAGGTCACACACAGTTCTGTCACCTAATCTTCTTTGTGGGTGTGTGATTTTTACAACCTTTTAAAAATCTAAAAACCAGGGGTGCCTGCGTGACTGAGTTTGTTAAGCATTCTACTCTTGATATCGACTCAGGTCATGATCTCACGGAGATGGGATTGAGTTCCCCGCCAGGCTCTATGCTGAGCTTGGATCCTGCTTGGGATTACCTCTTTCCCTGTCTCTCTGCCCTTCCCCCATGTGTTTCTCTCTCTCTCTCTCTCTCTCTCTCTTAAAAATAAACTTAAGAAAAATGAAAAAACCAGGGGTGCCTGTACAAAAACAGTCAACAGGCCAGATTTGGCTCAGAAGCATAGTTTGCCCTCCCCTGGTATAATTTGATAACCAGCTTTATTTGCCTTCAGGCTGTAGCATGGTTCTGACTTTGCAAGGGAACCCTTACACAGCTATTTAAATGCAATCCCAGAGTACTGTCTTTGGGTTGTAAAATTCCTTCAGGTCGGGGTGCCTGGGTGGCTCTGTCGGTTAGGCGTCCAACTAAGGTCACGATCTTGCGGTTTGTGAGTTCGAGCCCCGCGTCGGGCTCTGTGCTGACAGCTCAGAGCCTGGAGCCTGGTTCAGATTCTGTATCTCCCTCTCTCTCTGCCCCTCCCCTGCTCGTGCTCTGTCTCTCTCTGTCTCTCAATAATAAATAAACGTTTAAAAAAGAATTCCTCCAGGTCTTTGATAATATATAATCTGTCAAGCAGGAGATTTCTCAGAATATTAAAAAAAAGCATATTTTTTATTTTTTATGTCTTAATCATAAGGTGATATAGAAGCAAAGAATAAATTTTACCTTTCTGTTATGCTATTTTCCTTGTTAATGATATATGCTTATTATATTATTACTTGTTATATTATTACTTTTATCTCCTATTCTGTTAAATGAATACATCACATGGCAAGAAAAAGGCACATTTTTAATAATTGCCTGGTGATAGCACACTAATTCTGTTGGATAAACATATAAAAAGAATAGTTAACAATACCATACCTAGGCTAATGCTTTAGAGAAGACTCCCACATAATTAGAACAGTTAAGGTGATCAGAAATCTAAATGTCTGCTTTCAGCCTTGGTATCTAAGTAATTTGGCAAAAAGTAGTGAAAAGTGTTTCTGAGTAGAAAGTAGCCATTCACATTTGACTGTTATAAACTTGCAAACCATATGTAAAACAAAGGTAAAATTATTTAGCCATATCTATAGTCCTAGGATTTAGAGCTTTTTAAAATAATTTTTACATATGGGGTAAAACTAACATAGCTGCCTTTTATTTGGTTTGGTTTAGCATTTTTTGTTTTTATCATTTTTACAGGCAGAAGTCTTAGAATCTCAAGGTCATCTAGTACAACCATGATTGCGTAACTGTTGCTTAATCAACTTAGTAGAATTAATATAAATTTATTATTAAATATAAGAAAGGTACATTTAAAAAATTTTTTTGAGTGCACACAATGTTACAATAGTTTCAGGTGTACAACATAGTGATTTAGCATCTCTAGACGTATGGTGTGCTCCCCACAGTGGAGCTACTGTGTATCACCGTACGACACTATTACACTGTCACTGGAGGTATTCCCTATGCTGTGCCTTTTATTCCCATGACTTACTTCTTCCATAGTTGAAAGCCTGTATCTCCCACTCCAAGAAAGGTAAATATTAATCTTAATTTATCAGTTTTAAAAAGCAGTACACGCTGGGGTGCCTGGGTGGCTCAATCAGTTGAGCATCGGCCTTGGGCTCAGGTCATGATCTCATAGTTTGTGAGTTCAGGCCCCATGTCAGGCTTTGTGCTGACAGCTCAGAGCCTGGTGCCTGCTTCAGATTCTTTGTCTCCCTCTCTCTCTGCTCCTCCCTCACTCACACTCTATCTCTGTCTCTCAAATATGAATAAACGTTAAAAAAAATTTAGGGGTGCCTGGGTGGCTCGGTCAATTGGGCATCCAACTTCGGCTCAGTTCATCATCTCACCACTCGTGAATTTGAGCCCCACATCGGGCTCTGTGCTGACAGCTCAGAGCCTGGAGCCTGCTTCCGATTCTGTGTCTCCCCGTCTCTCTTGCCCCTCTCCTGCTCATGCTCTGTCTCTTTCTCTCAAATATAAATGTTAAAAAAGATTTTTTTTATTTAAATAAAAATAATTTTAAAAAGCAGTACCTGTTAATGTCTCAGAGCATACCTTTCATAGTCAGTCATGTCTGGACTTGAATCCCACTTCTTTCACTTAAGGGCTGGGTAACTTTGGGCTAGATAATTAATCTCTCTGAGTGTCAGTTTCTTCTCAACCTGTAAGGATGTTGGAATGATTGTAGTAGATAATGCGAGGAAAGTGCCTAGTTATGGTGTCTGTCAAATAAGACGGTACTCAGAGGAAATAATTCAGTGAGTACTTGCTATTATCCCTTTCATTACTTAGTATTTTCAAAATGTAAGCCACCTTACATTTGCACATGACATTTTTCATGGCTAAAAACACTTGACTTGTTTTTCAGAAAGCACATCTGAGCTGCTCTTAATGTCATCCTTTGAGGGTCCAAATGAAACAGGAAAGAGTCAAAGTAGATGCTTCAGGAAAAGACATAAAAGTGACAACGAAGCTGATTTGCAGCAGCGACTCTCCTGGGGAAGCAGAGAGCGCAGTCTTAGCGGAGGAGTACTGGTGGGACTTGTGCTCAGTAGAGTCAACCAGGAAGCAAATCCTGGAGACATGGCCGAAAAACTAGGAGCTGACGCAAAAATACTTTCAAATGTGATCTCAAAAAGCACAAGACCAACTAGTCTTGATATTGGAAAGCCACCTTTGAGATCAAAAAGAGACAGTCTAGAAAAGGAATCTAGTGATGACGATACACCTTTCGATGGTTCCGATTGTTTGGCAGATAAAGTGGATTCTCCCGTTATTTTTGATTTGGAGGACTTAGACAGCGAAACAGATGGGTCAAAAGTGGGATATGTTGCTTCACAAAACCCCAAGAGGATTCAGCGTCTCAGCAGCAGCTTTTCAGTAAAACCCTCTGAAAAAACAGATGTCGCCACGGGATTTGATCCCCTCTCCCTTTTGGTTGCTGAGACTGAACAGCAGCACAAAGGGGAGGAGGAGGAGGATGACGATGACAGCAAAAGCGTTTCAACACCATCCGCTAGGCGTGATTTGGCTGAAGAAATTGTGATGTATATGAATAACATGAGCAGTCCGTTGACGAGCCGCACGCCAAGCATTGATTTACAACGGGCATGTGATGATAAATCAACTGGTAAGAAAAGTCCAACACTGGTCAAGGCGTGCAGAAGATCCAGCTTGCCTCCTCATTCTCCTAGGCCGATGAGACTTACCAAATCTAAAAGTTACACGAAAACTGAGGAGAGACCAAGGGACAGACTCTGGTCTTCTCCGGCCTTCTCACCTACTTGCCCATTTAGGGAAGACTCTCAAGATGCATTAACCCATTCGTCACCTTCATTTAATTTAGATACACTGCTAGTACCTAAACTAGACGTTCTGAGGAACAGTATGTTTACTGCTGGGAAAGGAGTTGCAGAGAAAGCCAGCAAATGGTATTCAAGATTCACCATGTATACCACCTCATCTAAGGTAAGTTCTGTTTGTGTTTTCTACTTTCCCTTTTACCCTCCTCCACCACCAAAAGCCCCTTCCTTGCAAAGATGTCCGTTTTTACCATTCTCCTTAAACACAACTTGACCAAAAAGGAATCTTGGGATGCATAAGGTTTGTAAATATCAGAACCTGAACTTGAATAATAACTTCGAAAGAAAATTCACTAACCAAGGGTTATGTTTTTAGTTCACTTTTGAACGAAAATGATTGTAGCTGGAGTCAAAATTAGTGTTATATGAAAATGCCTACTGAACTTCATTATTTCCTTCAAAATGGGGATTTTTTTTTCAGGTAGTGTCTAGCATGCCTTCAAAATTATCAGCCGACATAGGATTTTTCCTCCTAGTTAGGATGGAGTAGCTTGTGACGGACCCACTACATATCTCTCGAGAGCAAAAAGCTAAAGGAAATATAAAGTATCTGTTTAAAGTCATCAGACATTTGCTAAAGCAACTAGAAAGTACTGGGGCAAGATTGTAGCAAGAAGAGAATAGCAGAGAGGAGACACGCTACAGCTACATTTCCCCTGAGGGCATTTGTTGAATCTGAGCTCAGAACTGGGAGTTGCAAATCCCTTATCAGAGGACTGAGGAGAGGTGAGGGGCCACAGAGCTTTGGGGATCTCGTAAAACTGGAAAGAAAATTAGAGGCTTGTGGGTCCTCAAATAACACCGATTTTTTTCCTTCAAGATATGTTCCAAATACTGATAGTGCATGAGACAGGAGGCTAAAAAGGTAAGCCGAAAGTCTCTGACAAAAAAGAGTTTTCAGCAGTTTCACGGTGTTGGGAATACAGTTGCAAAGAGTCCCTAAGTTCTTAGGGGGCGGGAGTGCAGGCAGGGAGCTTCGATAAGCACACGGAGCCCTTGGTCAGAAGTCCTACAGAGCCATGCTGTTGGCAAACCAGAGGTGGACTACGCCTGACCAGAACTGCACCCCGGGCTTGTCTCAGCTCAGCCTGTGATTAGATGAAGATAATCAGCCTTTATCTAACACATGAAAGAGTGTGCCCTTTCTAGAGGAAAAGCATATCATTAGAGTCCTCATAATTTTCTACATACGATTTTTTATATTCTATCATTTAATGAAAAATCGCTATACCAAGAGATGGGACCGTAACTAAAATACAAAAGAAAAACGGGGAGTGGGAAGAGACCTTCAGGTGGTCCAAATAGTTAACTTAGCAGGAGACTTTTGAAATACTTTTAGTATGTTCAAGAAGATTGAGGAAAAGGTGAAAAACAGCTGCAAAGGTAGACAGTTTCACTGGATAATTATCCATTAAAAAGAATCAAGTATAAATTCTAGAACTGAAAAAGATTTGAAATTAAGAATGCAGTAGTTCAGTAGTTGGACTTAACAGCAGACAAAACACAGAAAAAGAAAGTAGTAAACTAGATGGAAACTCAGTAAAAAATATCCACCCTGAAGCACAGACGGGAAAGCAAATGGAAAATACAAAAGCAGAGGTGGGATTTAGTGACAATGCCTAACACTGATGTAACTGAGTTCCAAAAGAAGAAAGAATGAGATGGAAGGAACATTTGAAAAGTGAATTGCCAGAGATTTTCCCGAAGTGACTAAAGATGGCAACTCACATATTTAGAAGATCTACAAATGTCAAGCAGAATAAATGCAAAGAAAACCATACTTAGGCATCTCCTGTTAAAATAGATGGGAATGGAATACAAAGAGGAAATCATAGAAGGAGCCAGGGACAAGAGCTGTCTTACCTTCAAATGGAACAACAGTAAGAAACCGACACTTGTCTTCTGAACAGAAACTTTGATGTCCGGAGATCCTGGAAAGACCCCTTTAGAGCGCTGAGAGAAAACTGTCACCCTGTTTTCCTACACCCAGCAAATATCATCTCTAAAAATTAGGGTGAGAGTCCCAGTTCCACTGTGGTAATTTAAGGCCACCAAAGCCCATCCCTCCCCCTGAATATAACTAAAATCTCCACACAAAACACAAAAAACAACTAAGAATTCTGAAAAAGCAGGCAGGTTGTGGGGAGGGACCCAGACAGAGGTGAATTCCCCATTTTCTTTTCTCCTGCATCTTCACCCCAAGAGCAGGTCCAGTCACTGTGTGGCATGACAGCCCTGGCAGCTGAGACTTCAAGAGAAACCCCACAGTTCCTGGGCAGAGGAACCAGAGAAGGGGGGCAACTGTGAGCTGGAGAGTTTGAGGGGAATCTGAGAGAAGGGAATTCCCAGATTCCGTGAATGCCCCAAACAAGAGTCCCTTGAGCGACACGTGCATGGGATAAATGCAAACCAGCAGAGACGAAGCTTAGAGGACTAAACTAAGAATTAAGTCACTGCCTATAAAAATTGAAACACAAATTATAATCAGAACATAACTTTATTGCCAGCCTGCTGTAGCAAAAGCATGTGTTCTCCAAGAGATTATAACAGTACCCAGACTCCAAAATACAACGTTCATGGTATCCAAAATAAAATCCAGAATTGCTTGATAGGTAAAGAACCAGGAAAATGTGACCCAGTTCTCAAGGGAAAGACAACCCTGAGATGACCCAGATGTTGAAATTATCCAACTGAAACTCTAAAGTAGGTATTATAACCAGGTTTCCTGAGGTTAAAGAAAAACACATTTGGATAAATGAAAAGGAATTCTCAGCAAGAAATAGAAACTATTTTTGAAAAACACAATGTATAACTAAAAAAAAAAAAAGCCTGAAATAAACTCATTGGATGGGCTCAGCAGAATGGAGAGGGTAGAGGAAAGAGCCTCAGAGACTTGTGGGACAATATCAAAAGATATAACATATAATTGGAGTTCCAGAAATATTAGAGAAAAGGATTGTGGTAGAAAAGATATCTGAAGAAATAAATAATGGCTCAAACTTCCCAAACTTGGTAAAAGATTTAGATTTACAGGTGTAAGAGGCTCAGTAAACTATTAGATAGGATAAACTCGAAACCACATCTATACACACATAAGCAAAACTGCTAAAAAGCAAAGATATCCATCTACTAATAAAATGACTGCTGGGGGTGGGGGGAATTAATAGAAAATATCCTGAAAACTGTTAAAGACAAATGACACATTACCTACAGAGGAATGAGGATTTGAATGACCATATATTTTTTATCACAATCCGTGGAGGAAAGAACACACTGGAACCACACCATGAATGTGCCAAAAGACCTGTCAACCAGAATTCTTTATCCAGTGAAAATACTCTTCAGGGGTAAAGGCGAAATAAACACATTTTCAGATAAAGGAAAAGAATTCATGGCTAGCAGTCCTGCTGTATAAAACATGCTAAAGGAAGTTCTTCAGGCTGAAGAAAATGATACCACAAGCAAAACTGTATCTGCAGGAATGAAGGAAGAACAAAATACATGGTAAATAGTCGTATAATATAAAAAAATGTACTTTTTTCTCTCTTAAATTCCTTAAAATGCTTATAATTCTCCAACCTAAAACTTATGACATGTTACGGAATATGCAACATAGGTACATGTTTTACAGTGGCAAAGGGATTCACTCCGCTGACATTCATTAGTTATATTTATTATACATGAAGTGGTATAATATGAACTTGAAGTAGGCTGTAAATGATTAGGTGTGTATATTCTAATTCCTAGAGCACCCACTTTAAAAACACAATGCGATGTAGCCAAAAAAAGCCAATAAAAATATTCAAATAATCCTAAGAAAGAACAACTCAACACATACACACACACACCATGACTAAAAAAATGTAAATTGTATTATCTGGGCAGTAGAATTATAGATATTTAAATTTCTTTTAAGTTTATTTACTTATTTTGAGAGCAAGAGCAAGCTGTGGAAGGGCAGAGAGAGAAGGGAAGAGAGAGATTCCCAAGGAAGCTCTGTGCTGCCAGTGCAGAGCCCAGCCCAACGTGGGGCTTGATTCTGTGAACCTCAAGATCATGACCAGAGCTGATATCAAGAGTTAGACGCTAACTGACTGAGCCACCCAGGCACCCCCACTCCAATATTTTTCTTTATACAAAAATTCATACTTATCAGATGTTCATATGTATTGTTGATGTAACCAGCAAAATATTTAACTTAACATTTTGGTGTTCTCAACAATGAAAACTGGAAATACATGTCTTTGAAACCTAGGTTATTATGGAAAACAATAAAATGTAAACATAAATTTTAATAGAATGCAATTCTAAAGGTATCATCCTGGGCTGGGATTTGCAGGGAGGAAAAGGAACAATAAATGAAGAGATTCAAAGTCAGCCAAGGGTATCTTACTAGCAGGTATCTGCTTTGATCTAACTCCAGATGTTATCTAAATGATTTCCAGCCCGCTGTTTGTCCAAATTAGTAGCCCTTGTGAAATCGGTTGTTTTCTTTCTGTAGACATTGTAATGTTGATTAATCGATCATCTGAGTAATTAGGCATTTCCTCTGCCTTAGGAGTGACATTTTAAATAATTAACTTTAAATATGAAGGAAATTAAGCTTATAATTATGTCCTCAGGATCAAAGTTCTGATCGTACCAGTCTTTCTTCAGTGGGAGCCCAGGATTCTGAATCTACCTCTTTAACAGATGAAGATGTTTGCCAGGAGTTGGAAGGAGCCACTTCCTCCCAAGAGAGCAGTGCCACTTCAGGGACTAAGGGAATTGATTTCAGCAGAACAAGCCTGGAAAGTTCTGCCTCCTTAGAAGGTGTGTCCACACAGCTTGGTCATACTGCATTTTATATGTGGTGCCTTTACTTTTTTTCCTTTGTTTTAATTTTGTAAAAGATTTGCGTAGCTCCAGATCTCCAAAACAGTAAGAAACCCAGGCACTTTCAGAGAGGTGTGCCTTCCAGCCCCACCCCTTCATCTGGTTTTCTCCCTGTGCCTAGAAGTAACCATTTTTATTCATTTTGGTTTATCCTTCATTGCTGCTGCTTTAAAAATATAGAGATGTGTGTGTTTTTACTGCCTCCTTGGCTTCTTACTCAAAAGTAACCTACTTTCCCACTCCTTGTTTTTTTCACTTAACAATGTATCTTAAATCACATCACATAGCATTGTCCCCTATTCATTTTTACAGTTGCATAGTCAATCATCTGTGGATATGTCATAGTTCATTTTAATCACTTCCCTGTTGACGGACATTAGGTGTCCAGCCTTTGACTATTATCAGTGATGCTATGATGCATGTATGTCATCTTATATTTTTGACAGGGTATCTTTGGAAGATACTCAAAAATTCTCCCTTGAAGTGGTATTGCCAAGTTGCCTTCCTCGGGGGTATGCTGTTTTGCACTCCCACTGGCAGTATATAAGAATACCTATTTCCCCACAGCCTTGTCAACAAAATATGTTGGCACACTTTTGGATTTTTTGCCATCTGATAGGTGAGGACTGTATTCCAGTTTGGTTTCATTTATATTACTCTTGTAAGTTGAGTAACTTTTTATGTGTTCAAGGACTATTTGTATTTCTTTTTCTATGGACTATCTTTTGCCGGCGTTTCACTTGTTGGCCCTTTTTTTTTTTAAGTTTTGATAGTTCTTTTTTTATATTAGGGAATCCTTTGTGTCATATAATTGTCAGATATTTCCTTCCAAGTGTGTTAAATTTCTGTGGGTATTTTTGCCACACAGAAGTTTTTAATTTTATGTCATCAAATTTCTCAGCATTTCCCTGACTACTTCTGGATTTTGAGGTATTAGGAAAGATTTTCCCTTCCAGAGTTCGCCAGTGTTTTCTTCTGACACTTGTTTAGTTTTCTTTCTAACATTTTCTGAGTTCAGCAGACTTTCTCTGTAAAGGGCCTGCTTTAGATAGTTTAGGTTTTGTGGGCCACATACATCTGTCACATACTCTTTTTTCTCATTTTCTTTAAAAAAAATTTTTTTTTTAATGTTTATTTTTGAGAGAGAGACAGACAGAGCATGTGATGGGGAGGGAGGCAGAGAGACAGGGAGACACAGAATCTGAAGCAGGCTCCTGTCTCTGAACTGTCAGCACAGAGCGCGACACAGAGCCCGAACCCACGAACTGTGAGATCATGAGCTGCGCCGAAGTCGGACACTTAACCAACTGAGCCACCCAGGTGCCCCCATCGTTTTCTTTTTATCACAACAGTCTAAAAACCATTCTTAGCCCTTGGCCATACACAAGTAGATTTGACACCCGATTTAGATATTTAATACATTTGAAATTTGTCCTAATGTATGATGTGAGGAATGGACGCACTATAGTATTTTTTTCATTTGCACCTTTGCTATTTTAAAAAGTTTTTGTTGTGGGGATTTTCAAATGTACACAGAAGTAGAAAGAATAGCACAATGAATCCCCATTACCCTTCACCCAGTTGCAACAATTGTCAACAAATGACCAATCTTGTTTTTTGTCTTTCCCCCTCCTATAGTCCCAACATTTTTTCCTTCCCCACTGGATTATCTTAAAATAAATCCCAGGGGCGCCTGCTTGGCTCAGTCGGTTGAGTGTCCGACTTCGATTCAGGTCATGATCTCATGGTTCATGGGTTCAAGCCCCACATTGGGTTCTGTGCTGACAGTTCAGAGCCTGGAGCCTGTTTCAGATTCTGTGTCTCCCTCTCTCTCTGTCCCTCTCTCGCTTGCACTCTGTCTCTCTGTCTCAAAAGTAAATAAACATTAAAAAAAAATGTTTTTAAGTAAATCCCAAACAGCATATAATTTTATTCATCAGTACTTCAATATGTAGCTCTAAAATGTAAGGACTTTAATGTTTTATATTGTTAAAAAAACGGAATTCAACCAAGTAAATTTGAAGATCTAACTGGCTTTCTTAAACGATTCATGAATTGGGCAGCATGCCATCTAGCAAGTAGAAGGGAGCTCCAAATTATACAAAACAGAAGGTTTTTATAGAAGGGTGGGGCAAGAAAGTTATTAGCAAAAGAAAAAGAATTTTCCAGGCAAAGTCACTTTCCCTTGGGAGAAGCAGTCTTACCATGCAGATGACTTCATCTTCCTTTGTGAGATGGAGGGGCCCATGTGGCAGACTCCTTGGCACTGGTTGGAAAATTCCTGACTGACTGGTTAAAACTATACTCTAAGGGAGGTTGAAACTGCAATTAGATTAGGTATAAAGCCCTTTTGGGAATTCAGCCTTAGTGATGCGTTTTGGGGCCAGGGGTTTTCTTTTCAAAAAAAATTTTTTAACATTTTAGTAAAATCACGTATTTCATAAACTTATTTTTAATTTTATTAATATGCATGTAATGCATATACTTTTATGTATGTAAATACATTTCAGGTTACTCAATTATCAGTATTCAGGTTACCCCTAAGTAACCAGCACTCAGATCAAGAAACAGAACATTAACAACATCCAGACCCTCCTGTCCTGCCCACATCTAGTCACTGCTCCCTTCACAGATGAACGTTGTCTTCTAACACTGTATGTTAGCATGGCCAGTTAGGAACTCTTATAGCATGTGTCTTTTGTGAAGCATTTGCTGTTTGTAAACATAATTATAATGTTATATTTTTAATGTGATAATATATAACATTTTATATCAAATATTCACTTAGTTTAAATTTTCATATTTATCTCATAAAGCTCTTTTTATAGGTGGTTTGTTCAAATTGGGATCCAGACAAGGTCCACTTGTCGCATCTGGTTAATATGTCTGTTAACATATGTTTTCCTAAGATATGTTTTATCTTTGTTACCTCTCTTTTTTTCCATCTTGTCATCCATTCGTGAAGAAATCGGCTCCCCCCACCTCTTTTGAATAGACAAGAACAATTTATTGTGCTAAGAAATAAAAGTTACCTTATAGCCTGACTCATATTTATCACAATGAATATTTATTCTGTGCTCTAGATTAATTAGATACAAAAGGTAGGCTGCCCACATAAATAATTACATTACTCAAGCCTAATAGAAGGTATGAGAAGGGAGTTTTCAACTAGCTTTAGCAGAGAGGAATTACAGAGGGTTATGGGGAACCATGCAGGAAAGGACTGCAATACCACCAGCTCTCAGTAGCTTAAAGGTTGATGTGAGGCTTCAGCTCTCTCTGTCCCTCTCCACGCACATGTGAGGCACAACCTGGGACCAGTGGTGGCAGACCTAGAACAGTTTTTTTTCATCGTCATTTATTTACGGAAGCAATCAGGTCATTCGTCTGGATTATGCCGATTGCATCCCCATGACTGGTGTTTAACACGTTTTCCCTTCTTTATTTCTTGTGAACTGGTAGTTTATCCCATGACTTATTTTTACCTTTACTTTATAAAAATGTAAGTGTTTATAACATTTTGGAACTATTGAGAAAAAAAGAAAAGAAATGGTATGGCTTACCTCCAGTTTTACTAACAAGATATAATAGCCACTGTCAACAAGTGATTTGGCCACAGAACTCCCCTTGTTGTTCTTTTTGTTGTTGTTGTTTTAATACCTACTAATATCCATTACTCTGAAGAATACATTTGGAAATTCTTCCCTCATGTTTAAGAACAAGATTACTGCACCAGATCTTAAAAGATCCTTACAAGACAGAGAATTGCTAGTAAATCTTTTTATGATGGGAAATAAAATTAGCTATTTTACATGTTTTAGACCTTAAAACTGAACACATTCTTGTATTTTTTTAATGTTTATTATTTTTGAGAGAGAGAGAAAGACAGCACAAGCTGGGGAGGGACAGAGAGACAGGGAGACACAGAATCCGAAGCAGGCTCCTGGCTCTGAGCTGTCCACACAGAGCCCGACATGGGGCTCGAACTCACGAACCGCAAGATCATGACCTGAGTCGAAGTCGGCACTTAACCTACTGAGCCACCCAGGCGCCCCCACAATCTTGGATTTTAAACATGGAAAAATAGAAACAGCGAAATGGTAATGACAAATAATTGGAATGCCTGTATGCACAAAGCGCTTCCTCAGTGAGTAGTGAGTGAACACCCCTAGCATGTGGGGATCTGTAGGATTAGAGCACATGTCCTTAGGTTTGTACTCAAAACAAAAATGTATGCCTTAAAAGCATCTTTTCACTATTTATTTGGTTTATTTCTTAAATTACTATTTTAAACAGAACAGTTTGACATTTTATCAGAGGATTTATGAAAGTGAAAGATTTTCATAGCCTTTGTCATTAATTGTAATGGTTTTGCTTTTTGTTTTTTAATCATGAGCAGGATCCCTGTCGAAGTTTGCCCTACCTGGGAAGTCAGAAGTGACATCTTCCTGCAACACAAGTAATACAAATATCTTCCAGAACTATGCAATGGAGGTACGATTTGAATCAAAAGAGCATCTTCCTGTACTACTTATACTACTTAGAAAACTTCTGTTTCTTAAGTATTCGTGGCTTGGGGTAGAGTAACTGAAAAGTTAAACAGAGCATCTGAAAATTTCAGAATGTATATGGCACCTGAATAAACTGAAAGTATGCAGTTCTTCAGAACACTGAAGCTTTACCTTTTTACCTTTTTAGAAAAGTCCCATGCTTCCTTTGCATTTATTAACATATAAAAGCATTTTCATTTTCAGTATTTCTAGTTATCCCTTGTTATATGTATGTTCCCTTTGAATTAAAAAAAAATTGTTTTAATGTTGATTTATTTTTGAGAGAGAGAGCATGCGAGGACAGGAGGGGCAGAGAGAGAGGGAGACAAAGAATCCAAAGCAGGCTCCAGGCTCTGACGGTCAGCACACAGCTGGATGAGGGGCTCGAACCCACAAACCGCGAGATCATGACCTGAGCCGAAGTCGGACACTCAACCAACTGAGCCACCCAAGCTCCCCTGTTCCCTTTAAATTTTTATTTTACATCTGAATCCCTTACAAACCAGCTTTGCTGTGCAAGCACGTGGCATAGCAGTGTTGAGGAGGGGCATGGAGCAGTTTAGCATTTGTGTGCCATTTTTCCATCATGTTTTTCATTCTTTGTGTCGGTTTGACGTGAATAACTGTTCAATATGCTTCTTGTATGTCCTATTTGCTCACGAGGAAAAAGTTACACTTTTACACTTTAAAAATTGTCCTTAAGTTTTAAAAATGTTTTTAGTGTTTATTTTGAGAGAGAGAGAGAGAGAGAGAGAGAGAGAGACAACGGGGGAGGGGCAGAGAGAGAGGGTGCCACAGAATCCAAAGCAGGCTCCAGGCTCCGAACTGTCAGCACAGAGGCCAGCACGGGGCCTGAACCCATGAACCATGAGATCAGGAGCAGAAGTTGGACGCTTAACCGACTGAGCCACCCAGGTGCCCTGTCCCTAATTTTTGTGTAAAAGTTACTTCCAAATACATTTGTGAGTGTTGTTGCTTTTCTAAGCCAATTGGCATAAATTTGGAAAATAGATTCGCATGTGGCTGGAAAATAAATGATGAGCACTGGTATTACAATTGGCAAAGTTTCTGATGGCTTCAGGAATTTCCATATTGTAATCACAGCATTTACATTTATCTATAGCAACACTTTTTTTTTTTTTGAGAGAGTGCACATGCTTGCGCAAGCCAGTGGGGAGGGGCAGGGGGGAAGAGAGAGAGAGAGAGAGAGAGAGAGAGAGAGAGAGAATAAGCAGACCCCATGCTCAGTGCAGGCTCTATCTCATGAACCTGAGCCAAAATCAAGTGTCAGACACTTAACTGAGCCACCCAGGTGCCCTTTGTTGCCGTTTTTAATTTCCAGTCTATCATGGCTAATAGTCTTATAAAATATGGTATGTTGATCACAAACTTAAATATTGAAGCAATGACCAATTCTTTGAAAGTTTCTAAGTCCTCTTCTTAGTTTCTTTACTTACCCCTAACCACTAAGAGTTTGTGGACCCACACTTGTCTGGTGACCACACTGTGAGTAGCACACAGATTCATAATGTGTAAGTACATGTACTGATTTGGAGTATTAGCAAATTAGTGTTTGGGTTCACTTTTTCATTAATAAAGCCACGGCAGGCTTAACATTAATTATAATGGTAAAAATGCTTACTTAAGTGCAAGGTTCCCTTGAGGTAAAAATTTTGAAATAGATTTAGCTGAAATAGTGAAAGATGAGTATATTATATAATACACTGAATGTAATCTATTTTTTCTTTTGTTTGTAACTTCTGAATCCTTCTGAGTTTTAGTTTTCCAGTAGATTTATGGATTGAAATAATTTTTAATTCATAATATCTCCCACAGGCTCACTTTATAATGCTGTTTTCTCCCATAGGTCCTTATCTCAAGTTGCTCTCGGTGTAGAACTTGCGATTGTCTTGTCCATGATGAGGAAATCATGGCTGGCTGGACAGCAGATGATTCAAATCTCAATACTACATGCCCGTTTTGTGGCAATCTTTTCTTGCCTTTTCTGAATATTGAAATAAGAGATTTAAGACGACCTGGAAGGTAATGATTTATGCTTTCTCTTTCCTTCATGTTTAAGGATCATATTGCCCAGAATATTTCTTTTCTCAAGAAGTTCCTTTGATTCACATTGCAGGTACTTTCTGAAGTCAAGCCCATCTACAGAAAATATGCATTTTCCATCCTCCTTTTCAAGTCAGACAAGGCAGTCTTGTATCTCAACATCAGCCACTGGTCTTGACACATCTGTTATCTCTGTTCAAGGGAATTTTGATCTCAATAGGTAACTATGATTATGGGGAACTATATTTTAACAACCTATATTACACGTTTCTGAAAACGACAGAAAAATCAGCTGAACATGTAAAATTTCTGTGTATAATAGATTCGTAATCAATCTTAAATTTTTACACCTCATTAAAAGATTATTAAACTCTCTAAAAACCTAAATGTTTGGGGTGCCTGGGTGACTCATTTGGTTGAGTGTCTGACTCTGGGTTTCAGCTTGGATCATGATCTCAGGGTTTGTAGGTTCAAGGCCTGAGTTAGGCTCTCTGCTGTCAGTGAGGAGTCTGCTTCAGATCCTCTGTCCCTCTCTCTCTGCCCGCCCTCGCTCTCTCTCAAAAATAAAATAAACATTTATTTATTTCTTTATTTGGTCACTAGCAGTTTCAAGTTTTTATTCTACCAGTTTAACATCAGAGGAAAGAGAGCAACTCCTTTTTTGGGGGCGGGGATGAGTTGGGGGTGGTAAGAGCTTTCTTGATACATAATTCACACATTAAAGTTCCCCCACTTAACATTCTCCCATTTATATAAACCAAAGGTTTTTATTATATTATTCACAGATTTATACAACCATCAACACAGTTGGGAACAAAAAAATAAACATTTAAAAAAGAAAACCTAAATGTTTAAATAGTTATGGTTTATGCTTTATGAATCCCCAGAGTTTAAGCTGTGTAATTCTTTTTATTATTTTTTTAGACAGAGTGCGAGTGGAGGAGAGGGGACAGAGAGAGAGAGAAAGAGAGGAAAAGTACAGAGCCCAACATGGGTCTTGATACCCCAACCCTGAGAACATGACCTGAGCCAAAATCAAGAGCCAAATGCTCAACTGACTGAGCCACCCAGGTGCCCCTAAGCTGTATAATTCTTATATGATAATGTTTACTAGTGTTTTAAAAGTAAAAATTCTAGGGGTACCCAGCTGGCTCAGTCAGTGGAGCCTATGACTCTTGATCTTGGGGTTGTGTGTTTGAGCCCCATTACTGGGTGTAGAAATTACATAAAATTGTTTAGACAATTTTAAAAATTACAAAAATGAAAGTAAAAATTCTAGGGGCACCTGACTGGCTCAGTCAGTAGAACAAGTGACTCTTGATCTCAGGGTGGTGAGTTCAAGCCACCCCATGTTGGGCATAGCACCTTCTTAAAAAAAAGTAAAAATTCTGTAGAACACTTGAAGTTTATAGTGAACATCTTTCTCTTATCCCTTGTCTCTTCAGGAATTAAATGAGTACTAACTTACTTCTACTTTGGAATATTTAATAATCTGAGAAAACATTTGGAGCTGCTAGAGGAACTGTAAAGTCAAACTAACACTTATACAGTAAGCCTAATATAAGTGAATTTACACTGAAAACAAATGCAGAAATCGACTCCATTTTGGAGGCGTGCCAGATACCCAATCTATGTAGCTGGGCAGGTTGAGTCATATAGGTAACTGCATGTGCAAGAGAAAGTGCCTGCAGAGTACTGGTAGGCTGGCGTGACCTGTTTGATCCTGAGTGCTTAGGCAGCAAACTCACAAATCTGTGTGCGCATCTTCTCTCATGATACGTTAAGTACAGCCCTTTCTCTGACTGAGACTAGCTTGTGACTAGCTTGTGACTCCTGAAGTAAGAGGTGCCTATTTTCTCTGCTTTGTATCCTCTGGGCCTGCTGTGGCTCCTGCTGTGATTAGAATTGTCCACTAGGGGCGCCTGGGTGGCTTAGTTAGTTAAGCATCTGACTCTTCAGTTCAGTTCAGGTCAGGATCTCAGGGTTTGTGAGTTTGAGCCCCACATCAGGTTTAGCGCAGAGCCTGCTTGGGATTCTTTATCTCTTTCCCACTCCCTCTGCCCCTCCCCTTCTCATGCTCTCTCTCTCTCTCAAAATAAGTAAATAAATAAATAAATATTTTTTTAAAAGCTGTCCACTAAATGTTTTTAATAAGTGAATAACTTTTGAGTATTTAAAGTTCTCTGGAAACTTAACATGATCAGACTACTTAAAAGGGGCACCTGGGCGGCTCAGGTGGTTAAGATCTGACTTCAGCTCAGGTCATGATCTCCCAGTTCGTGGGTTTGACCCTGTGATATATATATGATATGTAGTATATCATATTATATATATTTCTGTTTTATATATATATATAAAATATATGTGTGTGTATGTGTATATATATATACATATATATGTATATACACATATATATATATATATATCCATATCCTGTTTACCAGATGCAGCTGAAGTAACATCTTTCCTTTGATAACTTTGCTGCATATCCAGTTCTGATACTAAAGAGCTGGTCTTTCTGAATAAAAGTAAATCTAAAGAATGATGTGCTTTTTTTCTTTTGTCAATGCCGAAGCAAATCTAAACTGCTGGAAAATACATGTGCCCGAAGTATTCAGATCCCTGCTGATAGATCAAAAACAGCTGTGTCAAAATGTCCACTATTTCCAATGGCCAGGAGTGTTAGTACTTATGGCCCCTTGGATAAGGAAGACCCTGGAGGGCAGAAACTCATTTCTACAGGCAGCCTGCCAACTACTTTACAAGGAGCTACAGTATGTATTTTGGTGTCTTTTTAAATTTGGACATTGATGATTTACATATGATTTTGTTCCCTTTGTCCTAAATAGCCTTACAGGCTTCAATTTTGTAATTCTCAAGAAGAGTTTCTAGTCTCATGATACAATTATAGTATATTTCCATTTATATGGAAATTATTGACAGGAATTGTTTTGTTTTTTAATTGATTTAGTGTCACCAATCTTGTATTTTCTATTTATGTTTTTTATTTATTCAACAGGATTCTTTAGGATTAGAGTGGCATCTCCCAAGTCCAGATCCTATCACTGTTCCCTATCTTAGTCCTTTAGTGGTATGGAAGGAACTCGAAAGCTTATTGGAAAATGAAGGTGATCATGCCATAACAGTGGCAGACTTTGTGGACCATCATCCAATTGTGTTTTGGAACCTGGTGTGGTATTTTAGACGTCTTGACTTACCCAGTAATTTACCTGGATTGATTCTTTCTTCTGAGCACTGTAACAAGTATTCAAAGGTATGAAAATGAAAATTCAATCTAAAAGGCAATGCTATCATCACCATTGGAGTATTTGCATATTCCTAATGACCAAAAAAGTATTTTTATGCTAAATATTTTAAATAATTATCGGAATCATTAGATCAATAAAATGTCTTAGTCATATTTACAGATAATTTTTCTTCTCACAGCCTAGCAGTAAGGCAAGATAATGTTTTTAGACTCCTTGTAAAATTTACACAGAATGGGCTGTGTTTTCATCATAGCCTCAAGAAGAAACTGTAAATGGCTTTTATGAGAAGAGTCTGTGAGTTGGCCCCACTCATGTCTCCTACCTCCTTCAAAAACGAGCCTTACACGTTTTTAGGAGGATGTCTATAATTCCTTTTTCAGCCATGTGCTACCATTCTTTTCAGTCCTTTAGTCTGAGTTTTTGCTTAACATTTAGATAGGTTGTTATATGTTTACTTGTATTTTTGATATATTGTCCTATAAAAGTGTCTTACTTCTTCATATGTATCACCACCACTAAATCGCCAAGTTTCTACATTCAGGAACTTTTTCTGCCTACTTGTATTCATGTCTGTGATGGTGCATGTGCTTTGGATTTTCAGTACATGATGAAGGAATGACCAAGAGGTTATCTCAGTGAGTTATCTAGGGTAGGGTCTTGGACTGATGTATCATGAGGCTCCTGGATTCCTTTTTCTGTGGACCCCTCAATCATAAGCTGGTCAGGATTAGACCTTCATGGCACCCTTTCTTACTGATCTCAGTCCTTAGTTAAATCTGTTACTTTAGAGATCATTAGCTTCTTGGCTGATCTTCCTTCAGTAGAGACAAAATGCATACAAACCAATCATTTTCTGTTCTCTTTTCTCTCTTGCACACATTTATCCTAAAAAGTATTTGTAAGGATCATTAATGAATATCTGTTGGTTCTTCAACACAGATTCCTCGCCACTGTATGTCTGAAGATAGTAAATATGTTTTAATACAGATGTTATGGGACAATATGAAATTACATCAGGATCCGGGACAGCCCTTGTACATCCTCTGGAATGCCCACAGTAAGTACTGTCACAGAATGCTGACTTTGTTCATATGAGAGTGATCTCTACTTGTTTTACAAGCCTAAACTAATGTATAATAACATTTATTTTACTATACTACTTTTTGTCTTACAGGTCAAAATCGTACTCTTTTATTTGAGAGTGAGTGTTAAGTTTGATGTTTTTAGTGCTATCTTCCGTGGAGGTCAAGGGTTTTTTTGTTTTTTTGGTTTTGTTTCTTGAGTGGTGCTTTGTATGTGCTGAAGGGGTTATGTTTTGTGGAGTTTGCTTTTAGCACATTGCTTGTCCCAGCTGCTTCTTTTTACACATTTGTTTCCATCCCAAGCTGCTGATTTACAATTTCCTCCAGGGGCTGTATTAAGGAAAACAGCACTTTTAGTTTTTGTCTGAGGCCACAGAAAGCTTTAGGCCTATTTTTATCATTATGTGTCTTATTTTTTTTCCCTTTTCTTTTCTTTCTTCATTCTTAGATTTCTGTTCCTTTATCTATTGCCCTTAATTTGTTTTGGGGGCTTTGTAACTTCTTTCATAACTGTCAGTTGCTGCTTAATTATGTTGTCCTTTATACACATTTTCCTTCATTTGCTCTTTTGTTCTTTTGTAGCCCAAAAGTATCCAATGGTCCATTTATTGCAAAAAGGTGATAATTCATTTAACCAGGAACTATTGAAAAATATGGTAAAAAGCATTAAAATGAATGATGTCTATGGACCAATGAGTCAGATTTTAGAGACCCTGAATAAATGCCCTCATTTTAAAAGACAGAGGTAAGTCTGTCTTAAATGAATGTATTGTTCCTCCAAGCAGATTCCTGTTACTGGCTTAGTAATTTGTTTGATTATTTCACGCTTAAATTAGCATAAATATTTTGTACAGAATATAGAGACCAATGAGTAATAATATCTTCTCCACTCCTTTTCCCCCCCTAGGAGTTTATATAGAGAAATACTATTTCTCTCGCTTGTGGCACTGGGAAGAGAAAACATTGATATAGGTAATCAGCATGATATCTAACATGTAATATTTATAGATCATGATACTGTTTTCAAATTATTTTTATATTGATAGTCTTCATTATTTTTATATTAAATTATACTAATATTATATAATATATATTAATATTAGAAGAATTCTTTCTTTGATTTTTTAAATTTTAATGTAATAAATAGATACTTTGATACTTTGGTCACGTTAGTGATAGTAATGTTAAATGATAAAAGCTAACATTTTTTGAAGGCTTATTCTGTGCCTTACACTGTAGGAAGTACTTCCCATGTATTATCCTGATAATTCTCCCCAAAGCCATATGAGATAGGTACTGTTATCATTTCATTTCTGTGTTATTAGTGAGGCATCTGAGGATCCAAGAGGTTAAGTAACTTGAACTTGGGTTTCACAATAAATAACAGAGCCCTATTTGAACCAAGCAGTTTTATAAAATTCTTTTTTTTTTTTTAATGTTTACTTATTTTTGAGAGAGAGACAGAGTGCAAGTGGGGGAGGGACAGAGAAAGAGAGAGGAAGACACAGAATCTGAAGCAGGCTCCGGGCTCTGAGCTGTTAGCACACATCCCGATTTGGGACTAGAACTAACAAAATGCGAGATCATGACCTGAGCCGAATTCAGACGCTTAACCAACTGAGCCACCCAGGCAGCCCTTGAATCAAGCAGTTCTAAATGCCCAGCCATGCTTTTAACAGTTGGGTCATATCACAAATAACATTAAGCTTGTTTCAGAAGCGATATAAGGTAGCTAAATATATATGTCAGGAGGTCCTAAACTTTTTTAACTGATCATCTCCTTCTCCCAGTTACTGTGCTTGACTTCCTTTTGGTTTCTAAGTCTCAGGAAAGGGCAGAAATAGCCCCCGACAGACAAAAAGAAGAAAGAGGTAGCTGTCAGGCATCGAGAGACTCAAGAGAGTTTTGGCGTTTTGTCTGGGAAATGCTAATGTGAATAAGTTGATGAAAATGATAATGATACATATAATTCACCTGACTTAAGTGGTATCTAACTTGGGTGCCCTACTTAATTAAACCCACTCCCGGTTAATGAGAGAGTATGCAACAGGCCATACCTTTTAGGTGATTGTATACTATCTTAACAAAATATATCTAGTTATTTAGTGCTAGTCAACACTTCAGTTGACTTTTAGAGTGCCCATGACGTTTGCCACAGATATTTATTAGTCTCATCAGAGTCATATACATACATATATCATTCATACATGTATCATACATATGTATATCATATGTATAGTAAGGTTAGGCCCTATTACAGGCTACTCAGCCAGACCTTAGGGAACATGAATAGAGAACAAGAGTACTCCCTGTGGTGCTGGCTTCCCAACAAGTTCACTAAAGGATGGGAAAGAGCAGGAATTAGTGAGTGAAGTAGAGGGCTTAGAGCAGCCATCCCTAACTGGGTCGCTCAAGAGGTTATCACGTGCCATCTCACCAAAGGTGACTCATATCATTGGGAATTGTCTGCTTTGATGCCAGGAGAGAAGTTGTTGAATCCAGAAGCCATGATGTGTATGGGTGAGATGGTGAGCATCTTACAGAATGGAATTATATGTTGGGGTTAAAATTTTTTTTTTTGTACTCATTATCTAAAAGTATTAACCTTTATTTAGCACATTCTCCTGAAAAGCCAAATTTATTTAAAGTTTAAAGTCAATTTCCTGACCCCCTAAAATAATGCTGAGAGAGGGAAAGCGTAAAAGGCTTTTCTTTATCTCGGCAATCCGTCGTTTACTTTGTTCTAGCTAAGACCAGCATTGCCTGACCCCTGCAGTGATGGTGTTCAAGTTCCTTATCTTTGTATATTACCAGCACCCCTCCCCCAACCAGAGCGAAATTTGAAAATAGACAATTTTAATCCTCCTCTAGATCTGCTTGGAGATTATTATATAGGTTTACTGGTACCTTAAAGGAATTTACTATTTCATGAATTCAAGAGCTCTTTTCCTCTGACTCTCTGTAGGATTACAGACCTGATATCAGCTTCCTTTGCCAGTTGTTTGAAGGTTTCTGGAAGCATCTGGGTTGTATGGCCTCTCTTTTATGCCCTCACTGGGGGCAAAGCTCTTCACTGTCTATATATGTTGGGTGTCCCTCAAAAAACTATCACTTTCTGTGTAGACCAGAGTTGATGCCCAAGGCAATTTTAGAACCCAAGGGGAAGGATTGGAGACTAGAGCAATAATGGGAAAGAAAAGCAAGTGTGAAACAAACATAAATGAATAAGTAATTGGTATTAGGATGGACTGATGGATGGAGAATCTGGATGTTGAAGAATTAATTTATTGGAGGCTTCTGCAGAGATGTAGATTGGACTATGGGGAGAAGGTACCAAAAGTGCATTGTGACCAGGAAGGAATGTGGAGAATGACAAGTTTGAAAATAAGGAAGGCTTCTGAGGAAATGACACTAGTTGACAATGTAGCCAGAATATCAATGGGGGAGAAAACAAACAAACTTTAAAGTTTGTAGGAAGACCCTGAGGTGAAAGGGCTGGCATTTTTGAGTAATGGAAAGGCCAGGGAAGAGAGGGATCACAGAGAAAGGGTAGAGTGTGGGGTGAAATGAGTTTGGAAAAGCAGGCAGGAACTAGATTGTGCGGTGTCTGTAGGGTCTCCCAACTATCTTGGACTGAATTCTAAGGGCAGTGGGAAACATCTGGGGGATTTTTAAGCAGGAGAGAGACATAATCAAATATATGTTTTACCAGGATCTGTAGTCTGTGGAGAACAAATTGTGTGGGGACCCAGTAGATAGTGAAAGGGGCAATTAAGAAGCTAATGCAATAGTACAAGTGAAATTTACACAAGTGTGTTATTTTAAACAAAACCAATGTTTAAAGGACAAAGAGGGGCACCTGGCTGATCTTGGGGGTCATGAGTTCAAGCCCCCACATTGGGTGTAGAGACTACTAAAAAATAATAAATAAACCTTTAAAAAATACAGAGAGACTGGTTTGATTAGAAAGAAAATAAATCTAAAAAAGAAAGAAAGATTTAAAAGCTAGGAATTGGAAAATTGGCCTTACACTAAAATGGCTTTTAAAAATTTTAGCTGTATAACAACAACAAAAAATTTAGCTATTAAAAAAAAAATGTTTAGCTATAAATCTGAGCCCAGTAGAGATCAGTGTTTGGTATCTTTGCTTGGGAAAAAAAAAGTATGATGCAAAGAAATATAACCAGGGAACGTTGTACTCGAAAGTCACATTAAGTCATTGATTTTCCTAGTTGAAATAAAGATGGAAAATTTTGGACAAGTTCTAATAATAATAGTAAAACTTAGAAGTAAGGACTATTTGGTGGAAAAGACTAACAGAAGTACAACTGTATTTAACCTGTAATTTTGTTTGTAAACAAATGTATGAATGTGTTGAGCTGCACTTTCCATTAGAAAGAGGAAAAGAATGAATGGATTCAAATTGCATCTAGGGAGTTTTGAGCAGAATGTTGTGAATATTTGCTTTTTAACTATGATGGTTGTGAAACATTGGAAATCATTAAAAATAAGAAATTTGACAAGTGATTCTGATGCTCAACTGGAAATTTAATAAGGTAGGAACTTCTATGTAAATACCTACATAACCTTCTACCTTAAGAAATAGAAAGGGGCGTCTGGGTGGCTCAGTTGATTAAGCGTCCAACTTCGGCTCAGGTCATGATCTCATAGTTTGTGGGTTCAAGTCCCGCGTTGGGCTCTGTGCTGACAGCTCAGAGCCTGGATCCTCCTTCGGATTCTGTGTCTACCTCTCTCTCTGCCCCTTCCATGCTCATGCTCTGTCTCTCTCTGTCTCTTGAAAAATGAGTAAACATTAAAAAAATTTTAAAAAAGAAAAAACCGTTTCCTTTGGGGCGCCTGGGTGGCTCAGTCGGTTAAACCTCTGACTTCGGCTCAGGTCATGATCTCGCGGTTTGTGAGTTCAAGCCCTGCGTCAGGCTCTGTGCTGACAGCTCAGAGCCTGGAGACTGCTTCGGATTCTGTGGCTCCTTCTCTCTCTGCCCCTCCCCTGCTCATGCTCTGTCTCTCTCTGTCTCAAAAATAAATAAAACTTTAAACAAAAATTTTTTTAAGAACTAGAAAAAGAAGAGCAAATTAAACCCAAAGCAAGCAGAAGAAAGGAAATAATAAATATTACAGCAGAAATCAATAAAGTAGAGAAAAAATAGAAAATATAGGGGAAAACAATTTTTAAAATAGAGAAACTCATCAAAATCAAAGTTGGTTCTTTGAAAAGAGCAATAAAATTAATCTTTGGTTAGACTAAGAGAAAAAGAGAGGACTCAAATTAATGAAATGAGGAATGAAAGGGGAGATATTCCTACCACCCTTCCAGAAATAAAAAGAATGATAAGGAAGTACAATTAATAACTATATGCCTACAAATTCAGTAACCCAGATAGGCAAATTCCTACAAAGATGTAAACTACAAAACTGACTCTAGAATAGAAACCCTTACTAGAGCTGTAATAAGTAAATAGATTGAGTTAATAATCAAAAAGCTTCCCAGAAAGAAAAACCCAGGACCAGATGGTGAATTCTATCAAATGTTTAAAGAAGGATTAACACCAATTGTGATGGACTGCATATTGGTGCCAGGCCCCTACTCCTATGTTAAAGCCTTAACGTGATGGTATTTGGAAGTAGGGCCCTAGGGAAGTAATAACATCATCCGGTTGGAGCCCCCACAATGGGGTAATATCCTTAAGAAGAGAGCTATCCCTCTCAGTCATGTAAGGATACAGGGAGAAGACAGCTGTTCGCAAACCAGGAAGAGCGCTCTAATCAGATGCCAGATCTGCTGTTGCCTTGATCTTAGACTTCCCAGCCTCCAGAACTGTGAGAAATAAATGTTCATCATTTAAGCCACCCAGTCTATGGTATCCTGTTATAGCAGCCTGAACTAAGACATTAATCCTTCACATACTCTTACAAAAGTAGAAGAAAAAGGAGCACTTCCTAACTCATTCTGTGAAGCTAATATTATACGACAAAGACATCACAAGAAAAGAAAACTACAGAGCAATATCCCTCATTAATATAGGTGCAAAAATCCTCAACAAAATACTGGCAAATGAAATCCAGCAACATTTAGAAAGGATTTTGTTCCATGACCAACTGGGATTTATCCCAGGAATGCAATGTTGGTTCAATACACAAAACTCAGTCAATGTGATATACCATATTATTGGAATAAAAGACACAAATTCTCTGGGGCACTTGGCTGGTTCAGTTGGTAGACCATGCAGCTCTTGATTTGGGGGTTGTGAGTTCAAGCCCCAAGTTGGTTATAGAGATAAATAAAATTATTAAAAAAAAAAAAAAGACACATGTCTCAGTAGATGCAGAAAAAGCATTTGGCAAAATCAGCAAAGTAGGAATAGAAGGGAATGTCCTCAACTTGATAAAGGGCATTTATGAAAAACCCCAAATTAACACCATACTCAATGGTGAAAAACGGAAAGATTTTCCCTTAAGATCAGGAACAAGACAACATTGTATTAGAAGTTCTAGCCAAAGCAGCCAGGAAAGAAAAAGAAGTAAAAGGCATCCAAATTGGAAAGGAAGAAGTTAAGCTATCTCTATTCATAGATGACATGATCATATATATAGAAAATCCTAGATATTCCACACCAAAAGCAAAACAAAACAAAACCACCTAGATTGTTTGAGTTAATAAATGCTTTCAGCACGGTTGCAGGATAAAAGATAAAAGATACAAAACTCAGTCATATTTCTGTAACTAGCAATGCATAATCCAAAAATTGAGAGCAATTCCATGTACAGTAGCATCAAAAAGAATAAAATAATTAGGAATTTGTTCAACCAAGGAGGTGAAAGACTTGTACAATGAAAACTGCAAAACGTTGTTGAAAGAAATTAGACATAAATAAATGAAAATACATCCCATTTTCATATACTTAGAAGACTAAAATTTTTAAGATATCAGTACTATCCAGAGCAACCTATAGATTAACGTGCAATCCCTATCAAAATTGTAATGATTTTTTTTTTTGCAAAAATAGAAAAACATATCCTCGAATTTATATGGAATCTCAGAGGGACCTCAAGTAACCAAAATCTTAGAATAGACCTGGATGACTCACACTTATTGATTTCAAAACTTACTACAAAGCTACTGTAATCTAAACGGTGTGGTACTGGCATAAAGACAGACATGTAGACCAATGGAATTGAATAGAGAGCCCAGAAATAAGCCCTCATATATATGGTCAAATGATTTTTGACAATGGGGCCAAGAACACCATTGGGGAAAGGACAGTCATTTCGACAAATGATGCTGGCAAAACTGGATATCCATATGCAAAAGAATGAAGTTGGAACCCCTTGTAAAACAAATTAACTCAAAGGGAATGCAAGCTGGTACAGCCACTCTGGAAAACAGTATGGAAGTTCCTCAAAAAAATAAAAATAGAACTACCCTACAACCTAGCAATTGCACTACTAGGCATTTATACATGGGATACAGGTGTGCTGTTTTGAAGGGACACATGCATCCCCATGTTTATAGCAGCACTATCAACAGCATGTGAAATGGAAAAGAGCCCAAATGTCCATCAATGGATGATGGATGAAGATGTGTATATGCAACCAGAGTGTGTGTGTCTATGAAAATTTTGCCATTTACATCTGTGGATGAACTGGTGGTATTATGCTAAGTGAAGGGGGAGTGAAGAGAAAGGAACAAATATCAGCATATGACTTCAGGTGATCATGGACTTTAAGAACAAACAAGATGAACATAAGGGGAAGGAAGTAAAATAGTATAAAAACAGGGAGGGGATAAAACACATAAAGACTCATATATGGAGAAACAACTGAGGGGGTTACTAGGGTTGTAGGAAGGGATGGAGCCAAAATGGTGGTAAGGGCACTAAGAATCTACTCCTGAAATCATTGTTGCTATACTAATTTTGGATATAAATTATAAAAAAAAAAAATTAAAATTAAAGAAAAAAATTAACTCAAGATGGATTAAAGACCTAAATGTGAGGGAAACTTTGTTTGGCAGTGTCGGATAAAAAAATGTCCGACTTCAGCCAGTCCACATTCACGGTCCATGGGATTTGAGCCCGGCATTCGGGAGCTCTGGCTGATGAGAGCAAACGGAGCCTGTTCGATTCTGTGTCTCCCTCTCTCTCTGCCCTCGCCCGTTCATGCTCATCTCTCTCTCTGTCCCAAAAATAAATAAACGTTGAAAAAAAAAAATTAAAAAAAAAAAAAAAAGACCTAAATGTGAGATCTGAAACTATAAAACTCCTAGGAGAAAACAGGGCAAAATCATTCATGACATTAGATTTGGCAGTGCTTTCTTGGATATGACACCAGAGGCCCAAGCAACAGAAGAAAAAATACAAAAATTGGAATTCATGAAAATTTAAAATTTTGTGCATTAAAAGGTATCAGGAATGTAAAAAGGCAACCCATAGAATGGAAGAAAATAATATCCAGAATAGATTTGAAAAATTTCTAAAACACAACGACAACAAAAAGCCAATTAAAAATGGGCAAGGACTTGAATAGACATTTCTCCAAAGAAGATATATAGGTGGCCAATAAGCACAAGAAAAGATGCTCAACATCATTAATTATTAGGGAAATACAAATCAAATCTATAGTGAGATTCCACCTCACACCATTAGGCTGGCTACTGTCCCCCCCCCCAACAAAAACAAAAAATAACAAGTGTTGTGAAGATATAGAAAATTGGAACTTTTATACATCATTATTGGAAATGTAAAATGGTACAGCTGCTGTGGAAAACAGTATGGCAGTCCCTTCAAAAAATTAAAAATGGACTTAAAAGCAGGGTCTGCAGGAGAGATTTTTACATCCATGTTCATAGCAGCATTATTCATAATAGCTAAAGTGTGGAAACAACCCATGTGTCCATTGAAGGATGAATGAGTAAGCAAAATGTGGTCTATACATACATTGGAATATTATTCCTCCTTAAAAAAGAAGTTAATTCTGGCACATACTATAACTTGGATGAACCTCAAGGACATTATGTACATGAAATAAGCCAATCACAAAAAGACAAATACTGTACAATTCCTCTTATGAGTCACTTAGTAGAGTAGTCAAAAATCATACAGACAGAAGTAGAACAATAGTTGACAGGAGTTGGGGCAGGGGGCAACGGAATTAATGTTTAATAGGTATAGGGTTTCAGTTTCACAACAGGGAAGAGAGTTGAGGTGGATGGTGGTGATGGCTGCACATTATGAATGTACATAATACCACTGACCTACAAGATGGTTAAGATAGTAACCTTTGTATGTATTTTACCACAATCTTTAAATTTGAGAAAAAGAATTTTAAAAGGAAGCCATCTTAAAACTTTAAAATTCGTTGGTCTGTGTAATCTAGCTCTAAAATGCTGAGAGCTTTGAGGTCCTTGTTTGAGCTCTGAAATTCTGTATTTCTTTAGTTGGCAGAAATGACCTAGAGATGCCTTCTTGGCCTCTAATTGTTTAGTTCTGTGATATTTTAAAATCTTGATTGTTGTTAATATCGAGTATAAATTGCTAAATGCCCTCATTTCTTTATGAATTTTTACAGATGCATTTGATAAAGAATACAAGATGGCATACGATCGCCTCACACCTAGTCAAGTCAAAAGTACACACAACTGTGATCGACCACCAAGTACAGGGGTGATGGAATGTCGAAAAACCTTTGGAGAACCTTATCTTTAAGATATGCACGTGCGTGTATACTTTCAATATGTATTGTATAGTCAGTGTATAAAATAATATTTGGAGATTCTAAACTCTTTCTCTTCGATTTTTGAAAATGCATTTGTAAATGGTTCAGAAAGCCCAGATAGCTCATGTACAGAATGTTCTAAGAAGAGAAGAGTGACAAGTGAAGAGAGAGCCATTTTGTTTCTCATCTCTTTGTTGTTGTTTTTTTTTCTTTACTTCTCCTGTAACCAGTAATTAAGTATTTTTGTGACAAGGAAATCCCTAGACAAAATTACTTCTCAAAATAAGACACCTGTTTTGTGGTTTCTCTTGGAAGAAACATGTTGAAAAAATCATGTATGGAACTTAACCAAATGTAAGATCAAAGTATTTCCTGTTTTCATAGACTATTCAAATGTTTTGACCATGAAGTTGTATTATACATATTTTAAATTGTTTATAGTAAGTTGATATTTTTTTAATTTTTAAACGTAATATAGCAAACAAAATGAACTGAAACTTACGAAGCAAGCAATTAAGTGCTTATTTTCCTTGTCTGCTGCTATTTGAAGTAATTAGTACAGCTGCAGATCTCTATATGTATAGCTATCTATCTATCTATCTATATATATATATATATATTTTATTACTTGGGAGAATGATTCAAAACTGTCAGCGCTAGTGTCAGTGTTGTGCTAGGATTGCATGTTAGTACCGCTAAGCCTGACTGCAGTGAGTGGATGAAAGCCAGGGTGCGCACTGCCCAGACTGACTCATTGAGCCTTGTCGAAGGAGAGCCGGGGAGGTTCCAAGTCTGCTTCTGCAAAATCAGGTTCAGTATACCATGACTGAAAATGTTCTCTATTGCTAACAGATACAGACAGTACACAGGGATAGCTTACAAAGCCAAAAATCAATTTAGATTTTAATATTCTATACGAACACTTGTGTTGGGAAATATGTCAGACAACTTATTCCAGATTTTACCCTTATTTTAATATCTAAAATGTGGCATATGATGCAGATTGTATCATATTTATCTGGAATATGACCTATTGGAGTATTCTGTTCATATTATATATATATATATAAATAAATATTCAAGATATTTTTTCAAAAATAGAAAAATAATAACTCTCTAAAAGTACAGCCAGATAGAATTTCCCATATTGAGGAACTTGGCTTTTTCAATAAGCCTTCAGAATCTGAAGTTTATGGAATCTAAAATCCAGAAATATCCAGAAATCAGACAATAAATTGAACGTTTAAACACCATGGGTATTAGAAAGACTCTTAAAAAGTATTTTTAGTCCCATTATTTCAAATATTGCTTTCTTTGGTAATTTCTGATAAAAAGTATTCTTTGGCTATTAGAGTTATTTATAGATTTCCAGTATGTGTGTGTGCGTGGTTGCACACATTGTCATGAAGGAAAGAATTCTCTAGACAGTTTCATAGGAGAAAAATGTGGATGGTTCCAAATCTGGTGTGTAAGCCAGTAGAGCCCAGGACACTTGTCCTGGGGATATCTGAGACTTAGAATCAGTTTAGCTGCGCAAAAACTACCTTGTGAGTCCATTAGTGAATAGCATCAAGCTGAAACATTTCACAGCTTTCTACCCTGGGAAGTAATGGGGAGAGTTTAAAAAATGTGAAATTTTAGTTCGAATTAGTTTGGGACTGACCTTGCTTACTTGAAAAACCTGGTGCTATGCACATTTATATGCCTTTCCTTTGTAAATACAACTCCAGTCTCCTTCACTCTTCTTATCCGAGTTTCACATCCTAAAGGAGTCTTGTGTTCCCTGCATCGCTTGATAATTGTCAAACGAGAGAAACATTTGATAGGTGAGTCTTTTGGCATTGGCAGCAAATATGCCTCCAAATAGGGTTCTGGGGTTCTATTCTGTTTTTGTGTCCTGGGGTTTTGTTTCCCTTATAAGAACAGCTTTCGCTGTTGTTTAACTTGTCTTTGACACAAACTATATGTAAGAATTATAGTTTATTGATTTCGAGTACCTAACCAGAAAAAAAATGAGGTAAAGCCCATTCGTTATGGTTCAAACTCACATGGGGAAAGGTGAGTATAGTTTTTATCTCCTCCCATACACACAGTTTTTGTTCTGTTTTTCATTGGGTTTTATTTCCTCTACTTTTAATTCCCAGGGAATATTATTTGTGCAAATTTAGTCTTTAAAAATAAAACCAAAAACATGAGTAGAAAGTAGTAAACCCTGCTCAAAAGAAAATTAAAATCTAGATCATCCTTTAAAATAACTCTATACAAACTTCTCTTCAATTTTCTCTCTGTTGAAGATACATTTTGAAGACTCATGGCCAACCAATCTTGTTGGAGAGAAATACACTTTTGCTACATTATCTGTCTCTTGTTTTCTTACTCTTAGTTTTGTTTATATGTTTAATAGTTGAAAATAAACCCTGCTGTGTCCTGGTATGACTTGTTCCTACTTCCTCTCATGGTGTTAATGTCATACATTTGTATTTTGTATCTTATTTCAGTATTCCACTTTTTCTTCCTACTGTCAGATGGGGAATTATGCAGCCTGTTCATATTCTGATTTTTGTCTTTTCTCCCCCTGATTTTTTTGGGGGGCGGGGGGACGGCCTGAGGTTGTGATAAATCCCTAAAACTACCAGCTTATTTTGTTTTAAGGTCTTCTAAGATGTTTATACATTTTTGTATATAGAGAAATGGCCCCTGAAAATGTTGGTTCAGCATTTTTAGTGATAAATACTTATTTTATTTTATGCTGGTCATTACCATGATGCTTATTGAAACTAGCAAGTGTTAGCCTGCTGTATAGAGAGGCTGTTACAGTGTATTTCTAAATACGTTTTAAGTATATGGTTAGAAAATACCCGTTTGTATGGTAATGTGAGGTAGCCCAGTTTTATTTTTATTTTTCCCACTAGAACTTGAAAGCTGCTATTAGGCACTTTATTTCAGAGCAGAAAGGGAAAGAACAGGCTGCCTCTTTAAGAGGGCCCTTGGCCCCTTTGTGTGGTAGAGTTGGTGTGCTCCGTCTTTCCTGTTTGGACACAAGACCAAGTTTTATTTCAGAACTGAACCACTAGCAATTGCATACCAGTTTACCTTAATATTCTCAGGCTTATTATCTTCTTATCCCTTCACACTAGCCTCTTCCTCTGGCCTCAAAGCAAGTGCATTTGCTGGCTTAATTATTGTCGTTTACAAAATGAGCAGTGCACAAATTAGTATAGGAGTTTGTCTCTCACTCAGGTGTGTGTGCATGTGCTTATCCTCTGAGATGGTAGCAGACCCTCCTGATGAAGTCTCTGCGGCCTTCCCACGGTTGCTGTCGTTTGCATGGCTCCCTCCTTTTGTCTGTAAAGATTTTTTTCAAACATTGTGCTGTGATAGAGCCACTGGAGCAACTGACAGAATTTTCTGTAAATGAAATTCTCCAGGCTTTGCCTGCTCATCACAGTGAAGACCTAAAGCTTGCCTTTGGTTGCAAAGGCAACCATGTTGTCTTAGGCCAGGGTGGCCTGCTTGGCTCCAGTACCCCCCACTCCCCACCCACACTGGGCAAAGACAGCCGTGATCATGAGCCCTCTCTGCACTTCCATAGTGACCAGTCCCAAAACACATCACAGGTGGCACCTATGGAGGGACCCTCCCACAAAAAAAGGAATCAGATCCCCAGGGTATTCTTTGGCACGGAAGGCCAGCCAGTTCTTCAAATGTATCTACCAGGCTGTGTCCTACACACTAAATTCCAGTTCCTGACCTCTTTGGTATCAGTCTTTAAAGAAATGATCATTATGATATAGACAACGGTGTCCTAAAGGGCCAAGCCTATAATTTGATGAAAACATTTTCAGATCTATTGATGAAAGTAACCATTTAACCATGTATAGTAACCATTTAAACATAACACCATTTTTCAAAAATTTGGAAGGAATCTTTTCTTAGTACTATATAGAGACTTAACCCATTAAATTAGGAACACCCTCACATTTTTAGAAATTTGACCCAAACCCATTACCAGGGTCATCAAGGAAATGGAACCTCCAGAGGGAGGGAGCAGTCATCTCTGCAGCCACTGTCTTCCAGCTGAGATGCCCAGCTGGGACACTTCAGACTTCCTGGGATGAATGAGTGATCTAGTATGTGTCCCTTGTAACTCAGTAGATCATTTTGCCTACCAAATGAGAGGGCCGTGTCACCATTATCTTGACATTTTAAGATGACTCTTTTTATCCTACAACAGCATAATTCTAATAAACTATAGGCTTATAAATATGACAAAAATTTTAATTTCCAAGCATAACAAATTGATCTTATAAAAGTTACATAAGTTTTCCATCTCCCTGAAATCTCCTTTCTCCTGCCCACCCCAGTGACTTCTTACCCATCCATCAAGACCCAGCTTTCATTTTACTTGACTCTTTCTGTCATAGTGTGAAGTGATCAGATCATCCCTTCTAAGCAAAGAGAAATGCCAAAAATCCAGCAAGCTAATCAGAAAAAGAATGTTAGATCATTAGAGTTGACTCTAATCATGAAATGACTGTCCAACACATTTTCATGACAAAATGTTCCACTGTCCATCACTCCTTATCAGTCATTCTGGGGAAGGCATCAGATCCCACACTCCCAGGTGATGCCCCTGAAGCTAGCTGGAATTAGACACAGATGCCCAGAGTTTGGGCATTGGGGTCACCCTTCTGTAGGCATTGTTCTCTCCTGTTCCTAGGCCATGGCATATGGAGACTGGGCAAATGCAGCAGCAACGGCAATGAGGATAAGTAAGAAAATGGAATGTGAACATGATTCCATATTCTTCTTCTTGAGCATTCTGACCCAGTGACCTAAAGATACAGATGAACTCATCCATGTTGGTAAAATAAAATACCATGGGGACTCACAATTTATTGAAATTTAATAAAAGTCATTTCCAAAGAATGTGAATCCTGGGGTAGTGAGGCCATTAATTAATCAGCCCATCTTAAGAGATGGATTATGGACTAAAGTATTTTCAGTACAGCCCTTCAACACCAAAATGTTTGATTTTTTTTTCCACATCACATCTGTCCTCTTATATTCCAGTCTGAATCCTCTCACGTTTGTAATTAAAGCCATATTTGCCATCATTATGTATAGTCACCTGAGCTCCTTTTGCTCTGAAACCAGGAACGCGGAACTGCTTCATTTCTAATGGTCCCCTAACTGAGTGCTAGTAAAAGCAGCAAGCAGTGGTATTTAACACACAAGCACTTCGAGTTGCACAAGCACTGCTTCAATAACCACACAATTTTTAAAAACACAGAAGTCCTTTACACTAGCTATTAGAAGTAGTAATACTCTTTTTCTCACTGTGTTGTCGTTATGTTAAGCATTTTTGGAATTTCTCCTTTGTAATTGCCTTAAGAGCCACATGTAAGCCACACGGGAAATCAATCTGGCTTTATCATCCAATGTAGGTTGGCATACAGAAGTAGCATTGCCCCACAAGATCTCTTACTTTATATAGCAGACTTGGCCCTACTGATTTTGGACTCTTTTTAAAAATCACTCCCCTGGGGCGCCTGGGTGGCTCAGTTGGTTGAGCGTCCAACTTCGGCTCAGGTCACGATCTCACAGTTTGTGGGTTCAAGTCCCGCTTCGGGCTCTGTGCTGATGGCTCGGAGCCTGGAACCTGCTTCGGATTCTGTGTCTCCCTCTCTCTCTGCCCCTCCCCTGCTCGTGCTCTGTCTCTCTCTGTCTCAAAAATAAATAAAACATTTAAAAAAATAAAATAAAATCACTCCCCTTCTGACTCACTAGTAGCATTTGTCACTGTTAGGTGAGCATATGCTGGAGGAGCAAAGTCAGGACAACTTTGTATGACTGTCTAATCCCCCAAGGCGACCACTTGATGGAGACAACACTAATTTGGATTTTCTAGTAAGTACATATTTTTAAATAGCCCTCCCTAATATCCCACCCCCCTTCTGGTACAACGGCGAATTATACATTTTCATTTGGGGGGCTACTTATTTTAATTTCACGTTTCAGAAATGCAAAAGAAGAGCTAAGGGAGTCTTTTTAAGCTATCAAATATCAGTACACATTTGACTGGGCTACAGTGTGTAATGATCATTGATTCCTGTTATACTTTTTTTTTTTCCGAGTCTTAGCTCCTTAAACCCACCAATAACTGGAAGTGTAATGTTTACAAACCTGGTAGAACCTCGTGTTTTAAACAGAAAAAGAGAGGACGGCAAGTTGCAGTGTGTGCTTGGGACAGGGGCCAAAGGGTGGGGTGTAGACCACATCTGTGTCTTTGGATCAGCAGCCTTTCAGGAACGATCAGGGAACTGTGAGTATAGGGGCTTGTCCTGCTACTGTGCCTGTCCCTGCCCTCACCCCCAAATGATCCCTCATTCCGAAAACCCTCTGGCTCCAGAGGTCCTTCTACTGGCCTCCATGTGATAGCTGCCAACATCAGGCAGGGGTAAAAACGCCATCCCTCCAGAGGTGAGACAATCCACAACGAGCTGCAGGTGTTTCCAAGGCTAACATTCAGTCCCCGATCACATTCCCATCAGTGGCTCTTTGCCACTCTGGTCTCTCTCATGGACCATGTTCATTCTTTTGTTAATGTAACAAGAAGTATGGTAGCTTCTGGCATGGTTTTCTGATCCACGTCCATTGTGAGCAACAGTGACTCTGCCTCAGACAGATACAGGACAGGAAATGATTCGATCTTCTAACATCACACTGATTATCAGGAATACAAAGTAAAGGAGGAACATTGTGAAGCCCAGGATCTTGTTCATTCTCCATTTGCATGATGCAATTGAAGAGATCACAAACAGGAGCATGAGAAAAAGCAAAACAATTGCACAAAACAAGCCGTTGCTGCTGACTGGAACAGGCTGTAATCCATTGATAAGAGAGAACAGCAACCAAGGGACAGGCAGGCTGCAAGATTGAAGAAACAATGTGAATATTCTGAATGTCTGCACTAATCCCATAAACATAAACAGTATTTTACAATTTACAAAGCACTTATTTTTCCACACACACAAGAAAGCTTATGAAATAGAGCAGAAAATAATAGTCCCATTTCACAGATGAGGAAACGAAGTTCATGGAAATTGAATTACGTGCCCAAGGTCTCACAGCTAATAACAAGGAGTTCTATATTAAAACCGAAATTTTCAGGATTTGAGTGGGTATTTTTTCTTTATAATTCATGACTTTCCTATGAGTAACCCAGGTGAGCTGATGTGTGACTCTTCCATCTGTAAATGTTTGCGATCAGTCCTAGCTCAGGCTAACGTGTCTTTACATTTAAATTAGCCTGAGCTAGGACTTACCATAAAAATTTAGAAAAATCAAAGCCACCACCCAAATCCAGGATACGCCTGTGGAAATGAAAATAGCCCAGAGGTTGGGTTCTGACAAAGTTGGGAGAAGGGGGCAAGAGAATGGGAACAGGGGATGCGGCATTTGCTTGTTTAGACAAAATGCTTTTAGAGCCTCTGAGCTGGCAGGATCCCAAACACAAAGGAGCAGAAGTATCAGCGAGTGAGATTGAGTCATTGCTCCTTCCAACCCCACTTCCACCACCTTGGAGGTCAGTGAGCAGAGCATCTGACTGAATTTGGGAATGAAATTTAAAGGACTTTGTTTTTCGATTCATCTATAAGTTCTAGTCAGTTACATTTCAGACCGCATTTTTGTTCTGTTATCCCCTCAGGCTGTGATGAACGAAGGGAGGACACTTTGATGCCTAGTAGAAACTAATAACATAAATGCCCTTTTATTCCATGTATAAATAATGAAACAGAAAACCAGCAGACAGAGCCAACACCGTGTTTTCCAGTCATTCTTGATATGCCTTGGAAAGCAACTTTGCCACTCACCCCACGGTGATATCAAATATGTTACTGCCCACAGAGCTGGACACAGCCATGTCTCCCAGGCCTTTCCGAGCGACAATCACACTGGTGATGAGGTCAGGAATGGACGTGCCTGCTGCTAGGATCGTCAAACCCATGATCTCTTCTGAAATCCCTATTGTTTCACCAACCTGGTAAAAAGTAACAGCGATGATAAGCCATGGCAACAGCAAAAGGAAAAATCTGAAGCTCTTCAAAGCACCAACCACATGCTACTTTGTGCAAACCCAACACTTTTCCGGAGAGCTCAGCATACTCCCGTGGCCTCGGAGGGAGGGTATGGCGAACCGACAGATGGGGAGATGGGCCACGGAGAGAAGGAGCAGGGTCCCTGCTCAAGGCTGCAGGGAATGACGCAGCTCCTTTCTGGAGTACACGTCTCTCCCTGATACAGCTGTCACTGATATTCCAGCTATAACACCTGCACCTTCTCAGAACTGCCCCTCCGAACACCTGTTCGTGTCACGTTTCCATCTCCAGAACCACGGACACCTGCTATGTGCCAGTTAGAGGCTGGAGACAGAAGTATGGGCACCACAACACTGCCCCTACCCTCAGCCTACTGAAAGAAAAAAGCTCGTGAACAACAATTACAAGTAGAACAGGAAAGCAATGGGCACTCAGAGGAAGACTCACTGGATGCCAGAGACAAGGCAAAATTGAGCTTGCTCTCACAAGTGTGTCCAACATCGCCAGGTGGGGAGGAGCAGGGCATCCATGACAGAGAAAGCCTGGAGTAAGGCTAATAAGCAATGGTCAGTTGGGTCAGACTGTGAAGGGCCTTCTATGTGAGGCTACAGCATGAACATTAAGACAGAAGAGCCGCACTTGAAAACACTACACTCACTGGAAGAAAAAAGGCAAATTTGACCCTTCGTAAACAATCTAGAAACTACAAAGTCACTCGAGCCTCACCGTTCCCTGGGTACTGGCCATTGACCCTGAAGGTAAAAATTGTCCTTGGGCCCCGCTGACGTTGAATGTAGTTCCTGCTGTTCACTCACCTGGTGAGCCCACCAGACCATGAGGTATGAGAAAATGGCTATCCACACGATGGATCCCAGGAAGGTGATAACAAAAAACTTCCTAGACTCCTATTTGCAAGTTTGAAAAGGAAGAGAAATAAGTTGCAGATGCTAAAGGTCATTGGCCCTTCTGAGGGAGCCCCAGAATCAGGGACGGGATCTGCTGAGTGAGTGATGGAGAGGATCTGGGGATGTGTCAGCTGAGATCTGGATCTCCAGTGAGGACCCCGGGATGGTGGCCTGCAGGGGAGTCCAGCCAGCAGGGCATTCAGCAGTCACCAAACTGAAGAGGACTGTTTGCTTGCCCTAGAGCCAGACTTGCCTAGGTGTTTGGTTTGGTATCTGCCACCTCCCCCCTACCCCACCCATCTCTGGACCTAGAGACAGCGTATGGATGGCCTTTGGGTAGGGTATGTTAGCACTTTCCCTATAAATGAGAATACTGGGTAGCAACAGTACTTTCCCCCTAGGTTTTCAGAATATCCCTGGAAATACAGGGGCGGAGTGGGGACGTCTTGGCATCATTCCCATATTAAAATCGAGAAACTGAGAATAGGAGTTGAGGGACCAGATCACATGCTTATAGTGATGGAAATAAGCATGTCTTAGGGCCTCCCAAGCCCACTGGTATGTTCCCCATAGGTGCATGGTCCCATCTGGAGCTACAAGTTGCATCCCAGATACTCTCTGTGGTTGAGCCCTGCCAAGCTGATTTGCCCTGTCTTCTCACTTCTTGAGCGGGAGTGCTTAGAGACTCCACAGATTCCCTGGGGTACAGCTGGGCAAACTCACCAGCCTCCGGACATCAGGCACCGTCAACCACAGTGGGAACACAATGGGCAGGAGGAAGAGGTAAATGGCTTGCTTCTGTCTGGTGTCGGGCCACTCCAGGGACAAAGGCTCCTCATTTGCCTCCTCTTCTTCCTCATCGTCCTCCTCTTCCTCATCGTCCTCCTCTTCCTCATCGTCCTCCTCTTCCTCTTCATCCTCCTCTTCATCTTTACTGTCACCTCCATCACCTCCCCCTTCACCATCTGTACCTTTCTCGTCACTTTTGGCTTCACCTTGACTCTCAGCATTGAATTCCTGCTCTTCATTTTCACCTTCATCAGCTTTCATTTCACCCTCTTCTGCTTGGAGTTCACCTTCACCTCCACCTTCATCAGCTTTCATGTCCTCATCTTCTGCTTGGAGTTCACTGCCATGTTCACCTTCTTCTCCTTCTGCTTCAATTTCACCTTCACCTTCCAGTTGAGACTCACCTCCACCTTGCTCTCCATTTTTGCCTTCACCAGGAGCTTCACCCTCTTCAGCTACTATTTCACCTGTGCTCTCAGCTCCAGCCACATCTCCTCCCTGCAGTCCAAAGCCAACAAATTAATGTGTAATAACTGCTGGGTTTGTTTTCCCTCCCACTTTCCCCCCACTTTGTTGTTGTTGCTGTTCTCAGAATGGATCTAAAAACTTTAGGAGGAGGAGAAATCATTCAGCAAAATTCCTCCACAACCACAACAGTGGTTGTCCTTTCTTTATTTGATTATTTTCAGGGATGGAAGACTCACCACCTAAGGCACCCTCTGTATCTTGGCAACTCTGGTTAGAGTCCATATTTGTAACAAGGTTCTACTCTCTGTGTATAGGTTGACTCTTTGGAGCCACACAGAACAAAGCTAATCACTCTTTCATGAGGCAGCTCTTTTCCCTGAGTTAAAGATTCCCAGTCCCTTCCTTTATTCCATGCTATGGCCTGGAGCCTCCTCCCCATCTTGGTGAACTCATTCTAGTTAGATTATACCCCATGAGGAAGCTTTGAAAACTGAAACAGAACACCACACATAATAGGATCGGACCACAGAATGGAATAAGATTATCACTTCCCTCTCTTGGATACCTACTTCCATTAATGTTGCCTAATATTGCATATCTTTTGGTGGTTACATTGCTGAGCCTACTAAAACTTCTAAATTGTTATATTACCTTACGTATGTAAAACTATGATGGTAATACCTATTTACTGGGGGGTTTTATGTGCCAGGCACTATGTTAAGTGGCTTCAATAATAATAGCTAGCACTTACTGTGTCTCATGAGTCAATTAACTTATGATATAGATGGAATTAAACCCATCTGACAGATGGAGAAACTAGGGTACAGAATAGTTAAATAACTTGCCCGTGGTCCACACAGTGGTCCACATGGTGTAAGTGATAAAGTTGGGATTTGTCATATGGATAGTCCAGCTCTTGGCCTCTTAACCACCAAGCTACCCTTCTTCGCAAATGCCAGGGCTGAATGAGATCTTTGGTTCTCCATTGGGGAGCTTAGTATAAATACTAATTTTCAAAATAAGTTAATAAAATAAAAGAAATCCAGATGTCCTGGCCCCTCCTGGACCAACTGAATTAGAATCTCTGTGTTGAGAACTAAGCCAAGAATCTATTTTAACATGCTCACAAGTGCTCCTAATAGATGCATTTGCAGACCAGTGTTTGGGAACCAAACACTGTGACTCCATGCACTCTAAAAGGCATTGATTCTGAGTGTCCTCAGATTAGGCGCCCAACTAACCTATAGCAACATGCCTGGCCTGTCCCTTGAGCAAGTGACCTGCGCTGTGTGCTCATAGAGTATGTCATCTGTAACGAAGTTCACACAGCCAACCCCAAGGGATACTCAGTGATTCTGAACTCCACTGCATATTCAGATCACCTGAGGGTTTTAAAAACATTCATACCCACCCCAGATACTCTAACTTAATGGTCGAGAGTACATTTTTTTAATTTTTAATGTTTTTTATTTATTCTTGAGAGAAAGGGAGACAGAGCATGAGCCAGGGAGGGGCACAGCAAGAGAGGGACACAGAATCTGAAGCAGACTCTAGGCTCTGAGCTGTCAGCACAGAGCCCGACACAGGGCTCGAACCCATGAGCCGTGAGGTCATGACCTGAGCCGAAGTCGGATGCTCAACCGACTGAGCCACCTAGATGCCCCTGAAATACTTCCTGCCCTCCCTCCCCCAGCCCCATCAGGAGAGAAGGCTTACTGGGGGAGATGACAAGTCATTTAAATCCATAGGTGTGGGAGTGTCTGCCCAGCCTGCACCCTTTTCTCTGAGAACTGTCACCCCTAACACCCTCTGAATGGGTGGCTCCATTCTTCTGTGTTGGAGTCAGAGCACCCCAGCACTCCCTGTCACAGCTTAGACACAGGCTGGATCCCTGACCTGTGACCTGGTTTAAACAGATTCTCTCTTCTGAGACTGGGAGCCGGTCATCGGTTGACCCCCATAATGGACTGGGGCCTAGAGTGGTGCTATGTGTGCTAATAAGAAAGCAAATACGGGGCACCTGGGTGGCTCAGTCGGTTAAGCACCCGACTTCGGCTCAGTTCGTGATTTCACGGTTCATGAGTTCAAACCCCACATCAGGCTCCGAGCCTGGTTGGGATTCTCTCTCTCTCTCCCTCTCTCTCTGCCCCTCCCCACTCGCACTCTCTCTCTCTTCCCAAAATAAATAAAAATTGAGAGGAAAAAAAGTCTGCACACAGGGAAGGGAACATGAGGGAGCAAAGACAGACAGTGAGAAGCCACCAGGGTCACAGCTGCCTGCTTAGAGCTGGGGGCAGTTCTTTGTGAAATGGAGCTTCGCTTCTGGCCCTGGGATTCCAGGAGATCTCTCTGTCTCCTCTTAATCCCTTGTACTTGAGCTGGCTGCGGTGGGTCTACTCAGGACACTCATGATACCATCAAGAGGTCTTCGACACTAAACCCAAAGTTGCTGGCTTAAGGATGAGGTATAATTGACTATTTCTGGGTGGCAAACTAAAAAAACAAACAGGGATGGAACCTGCAAACTAAATGCAAGTCTATCACTGACCATCATCGACTCCCTTTCTGACTGGGCTGCTGGCCCCACACCCTCGCTGTCATCTCTGAACCCTTACTGAGCACAGCCGCGTGTGCCAGGCACCGCACTTCTCTCTGTGGGACAGACAGTTCAGGAGTGCATCCTGCCCTCAGGAACTTCACTCAGCAGCGAGCTGAAGGAAGAGAGACTCCTAAATGGAGTGCAGGGAAGGCAGTGATAAGAGCCCTGGGACAGGGACAAAGCACATGGGCATTTATTCATCAGATGGGGGTGGGGGGCCAGGGAAGCTTGAGGGCAATGGAGGCATTTACAGTGGCCTGGAAAGGTGGGTGAGGCGATACATGCAGGTGGGGGGATACATGAAGGGGAGGAAACCAAGGTCCGGAGGCAGAAGAGCACGGAGACAGGAGTCCAGTGTAGCTGGAGCGTGGTGGAAGAAGAGGCTGTGTGGCTGTAAAGGCAGCGGCAAGCCCTGTAGACAAACCTCAGGGGGTTCCAAGGCATGGAGCTACGCTTTGAGCTGCCTGGTCTTACTGCCCCCTAGTTTCTGAAAGACCCCCTAACAGTTATTCCTTATGTTCTCCTAGCACGTGACCCGTGGTGGCACATTCTCGTGTGCATATACCGCACTCACACTAAGGTGTTAACGGTGAATTAACTGGCCCCATGAGGTATTATTTGATCTTCAGAGAAAGGGCCATACTTACTTCAGAGGAATGAACCTCAAGCAGCATTTCAGACCTTCAAGAAGGAAGACTCTTTGGTCAGCAACTTCTTCCCTGGGCCTGTTCAATCCCCTCCACCTGGGAAGAGGCTCGTGCCTACCTGACTGCCAGGATCTTCCTCCTGATCTCCCTCAACATCTGGAGCAGGGGCTGGTGTGACCGTGACCGCAGGAAGCTTGGCTGACTCCTCCTCTTTAAAGGACAAACATGGAAAAGATCAGAAGAGTGTGCCAGTTTTTGAGGGCAGCTGGCAGAGCCAGTGTGAGGGGCTACAGGACGCGTCCACCCCAGGGTCTCAGTAAGTTTGGGGAATTTCTTGTTGTTAGGAAAAGTAACATGATGTGATAGGAATTATTGTTGCCCTGTCCACAGAGATACCTGCAGATAGGACAGCCGGGAGCTGGCCATCCTTGCTCCCCCTGTATTCACACATATTTCCATTCTGACCAGTGGGGCCAGGGATCCAACCTATAAAAAGCTTGGGCAACTGGGACCAAAGAGAGGGCAAAGCCCCAGCCCTCAGGGTCTGACCCTGCCCCCTACCGCCTACATGGAGAGGATCCTGATGACTTCAAAGGCAGCACAGCAGTTTGGAAGCCTTGAAATAGGTGGCAGGGAAGGGAGACTCAGAAAGCCTGGAGAGCCGGGTTTAGGAGCAGACCCTCTCACTTCTTCAGACGAGTCAGTTGACCTCTCAGCCTGGGTTTCCTTGTCTATTGTATGGAAAAAATGGCTGCCGCTCTCCCTCCTTCCGCAGGTCGCTGGGTGCATGGGGCAGGCCCGGTGTGCTGTGCAGAACCCACAGGGGCAGGAGCTTCCTCATTCCCTCCATCCCAGGTGCCACATGGATGCTGGACTTCTGCATCACCAGACCCCTGGTGTCCTTCCCTCCTGGGGTTGCTGGTCTCAGACCAATCCCTAAGAGCACTGTCCTTTTGTAGAAGTGACAGGAAGAAGAAACAGAGGTCCCATGGAGTCTGATTTGGGATGAGATTTAGTGAAAAAGAAACGGGCCTTCAATAACCCCTTGGCCTGGCCTGGCCTGGCCCATCAGAGGAGAGTGCGGAGGGGCTGTCCAGAGCCTCCCTAGGGCCAGCAGCCCAGTCAGAAAGGGAGCATACTGGAAGGAGGAGGCTAGAGTGCAGTGGCACTCAGGGCAGCACCAGACTATATCACTCCAGCTGACTGGCCCAGACAGGCCGAGAGGCACGTCTCAGCCCCTGGCCAACAGGAAGGAGGAAGGTAGCATGAGGAAACCCACCAGTTTCACCATCCTCTCACCTGGTTTGTTCTCTGCATTAGCATGAGGCTTGGCTTTGGTCTCCTGATTCAAGCTCTCCTCCTCCTTATCCTTGGAGGGATGGGCTGCAAATGAGAAAGGGGAACACATCTTATCTGAGGCCCTTCAGTTACACTGGTCAGCTGAGAAACCAGAGCAGCTGAAGTGGGTGGGAAGAGGCTGGCCTGGAAGTCATGGTCTGGGTTCCGGTCCTACTCCGCATGTTCCTGCTGCCCGCTCCCAAGCTTTCGCCTTAAATTCCCTGTATGTTACTAACTGGCTGTGACCTTAGGCAAGTCACGTCCCCTCTCTGATCCTATTTCCTCTCTGGCAAGATGACATGGTTGGACTCAGAGGCAACAAATAGGATTTATTTTCTTTACGAGCTCGAATGATGGCTGTTTTGAGTGCTGGATTGAGGAAGATTCTGATCCAAGGATAGTGGAGGTTTTACCATGATTTATTGATAATATCTGCAATGAGCAGGGAACGGACGAAAAATGGCAGGGAGACATGTTTGCCATCCTTGGACTGGATTATCTGTGAGGTCCTTTGTAGCTTGCTTTCTTCAGTGAATTTACCAGAAGCTCTGCTATAGCTCCAGGAGCACTACTGGTGAGACTTTCTTCTCTGGTCAGAAAGGGGAAATAGCCTACCACCAACCTCCCTGCCACACCATTTTGACCCTAGGTACCCAGAGCCTCCTTTCGGATCTCTATGAACACATTTTGCCAGAGGCCCAAAGAGAACTATGGACAGAATAGTGCTGCTCTGATTTCCAGGCAAGAAAACTAGGGAGGGCAATCTTTTTCAATGTGATGATGCTCCAGGCAACATGCAAAGTTTACATGTGTAATTCAAGGTGGGAGGCACAGAGACAGGTGCAGGGGCTCCTGCGGGTCCTCACAGCTGTGTAACCTGTGAGGGTAAGGACAACGGCACAAGCGAGAAAAAAAAGTGGCATCATGGAATCTATTCTGGAGTCCAGGCTGGCTCTCCCCTGTGAGCGCGGGGTGACCCTGGGAAGCCTGTGTGCCCTCTCTAAGCCTCAGCGTCCCCCTCTAAAAAGGCAACATCATGATATACTGAGAGCACTGATGTGGGGGTCCGTGAGACAAAAATAAATAAAAAGGCTTTAATGCTACAATTAAATATTGCTATGTTAGCTGGGATTCTGATACCAGATAGTCTGGGTTTGGATCCTAATTCTGCCACTTGATAGTCAGGGACCTAGCTCAGTGATTGCTTAACCTCTCTGTCCCTCAGTTTCTTCATCTGTAAAATCTTACAGAGTTGTTAATGGAATAAATAAATTTATACATGAATGTGCTTTAAACAGTGCCTGGCACCTAGAAAGCACTATATAAGCATTAGCTACAACAAGGACGAAGTGAGTAATGGAGAGCAGCTGTCCCACCCAGGAAGCATCTCTGCAGTGGCCCAGCATTCCAGAGCGTTTGAGTTAGAAGGGAACCTGAAGATCCTCTAGTTTATGACAGACAGACTGAGAAGGTACAATGTGGGAAGCTGCTGGGACCAAACTCTGCCTGGGTCCAGGATGGGCAGGAAGCATAAACGGGTCTGGAATTTCCTCCTTTCAGCCTGTCAACTAAGCTCTCAGAGATGGTTCAGCTGCAGCTGCGTCTGGCAACAGGCTCCATCCTGCAGGGCCACCACTCTGGCATGACTTCCAAGTGTCCTGGTGGGCCAACCCAGCAGGTGCTCTTCAGAGCTGAGATGTCAGGAAGCAGGCCCTCCGCTGCCTGCTCACCCACACACCTTTAATGCCCCCCCTGGCATGGATGACGCATTGCAATCTTCTGTTGAGCAACAAACACAGAGTTGTTACCAAAGGAGAGAGTCCCACTCGTTCTGGTCCTGGTGCTGAGAATATCTGCCGACTGTTGGCTGGAAGGGCTGGCAAGAAAAACCAAGTCCCCCTGTTTCCTTCTCACTCCTCATCACACACCCTAACCTCTCATTTCCCTTGCCACTGAGGAAAGCAGGTCAGCTGCAGAACCTCTTTCTGTCCCTCTCTCCCTCTCTCTCTTACATATGCACACATCCATAGATGTGAAGTCACCATAGAAGGCATAGGATCTTGGAGAAGAAAGGCCCCTTCACAGGGTGGGTGAGAGTTCAGACCACACATCAGCTCTGTGGAAAGAGTTGGAACACCTGGAAAGGGTGGAAACATCTGGACAGCCATTTGGAAACAGCATATGGAAACACAAACATGGATCTGGAAAGTCTTGGGAACAAAGGCCTTCACCACAGTTCTGCAAGGTCCCAGGCCCTCCTGGATGGGGTCTGGGAGTATAGAATCCGGGTTGGCTTCTCAGAGCAGGACTTCGTCCCAGAGCGTATCAGCAGTTACCCACCACGAGGGCCTTTCCACGCCTCCCTGCCTGCCACATGTACCCACCATATACCAAGCTTGCTTGTCTTCCTAGGGATGACTGTCGCTGGCTCCCCCAGCACTTGTTTCCTCACGTGGCCTCTCTACTCTCAGCGTGGCCGGATCATCTCCTACTTAGTATCAATCTCCTCTGACCTCTGCCTGGCCTGGCCATCACATAATCCTGTTAGGACAAGTAGGTCAGCTGTTGGCAGGCTGCCAGTCATGGAAGTGGCCCAGGCAAGGGGCCCTGCAGTCCCATTCAGGAGATCTTTATCTTCAGGACTTTGCTAGAGTTGGTGATTCTACAAGGAGTGGCGGAGAGTAACCCAGAGATACAGCTTCCTTCACCGCCCCAGGCCAGGTACGCCCCCAGCACGATCACCCACAGGCTACTGCGTAATGCAAACTCCACTCTCAAAACTCCAGGGGCAGGGGCGCCTGGGTGGCTTGGTCGGTTAAGCGTCCGACTTCGGCTCAGGTCATGATCAGATGAGGTCCGAGGCCCCAGCGTCAGGCTCTGTAGCTCAGGGAGCTGGGCCTGTTACGGATTCTGGCCCTCCTCTCTCTCTGCCTCCCTGTTCATGCTCTGTCTCTCTCTGTCTCAAAAAATAAATAAATGTTAAAAAAAAATTTAAAAAAAAAAAAAAAAACTCCAGGGGCACTGTTTTTCTGGAGTTGACACTTGGGAGTAGCCTCTCTCAATGTCTGCAGAGGCTCGCCCTGAGGATTTCCTGAGGAAGGTTTCATCACCTCGGCTTTGTCTCTGCTTTTCCCAGTACAATAGCCTTCTAAATACCCTAAACCCAATACTGTATCTGAAGGGGATATTTCAAGGCCTGAGGAAATTCTGAGCCCCTTCCCAACCTCTCCCCTTGACACTCCTCCCCCCCATAGATTTGTCCCTGAACCAGAAAAGTCAGTGAGGGTGTTTCCCGATGCTCATGGGCCAGTCTCCAGTGTCATATTCAGCTCAGCCCTCAGCCCTCCTTCCAACTACATTCTGACCCCTTGGCTTCTGCCCACAGGCCAACCTGGGCTCCTAGTTTTGCACCAGAGATCCAGAGATGAAGGGACCCAAGGAGAACAGGAGTATACCTGAGGGTGCCCTTTAGGGGCCTGAGAAGCATTTTAGGAACAGTTCTCTGGGGAAGTGGGCCAAAAGGCAAGACTTGGTAAGGTGCATGGAGAGAATCTTAGCTACCCCCATCATTTGTCAATCAGGACCCACTTTACTTTGGACCCCTGTCATCCTCCAGAAGTGGTCCTGGCAGCTCCTTTGGGGTTCCTGGCTAGGGAGAGGGTTAGCAGTTTCCCTAGGACTCCAGAGCTAGACAAAGACCAAGGGGAGGTGCTACTCAGAGCTTCTGGGCTGTGGGGCCCTACAGGAGGTACCCCCAGAAGTGGCCCTGGCAGTCAGCCTGGGCCAAGCTGCCTGGCTGGAGGTTCTGTGGGACACTGGAGACGACTCGTGGGTGGTGGGCTACGCAAGGAAGTCACTGAGGACAGCCCTGACATCGACCAGAGCAGGGCACATGGCACTCATGGCCTCACTAACTACAAGTGGACCCTTTTACAGGAGGGGACACACAGACATGGAAGCCATGGGATACAGATGCCTAACCTTAGCTCCTTGGGGCCCTCTCCTGTTGAGTCCCATGTCCTCTCTCTACCCTGTCTCCCAGACAGTTGGCTTCATCCCCCCACTCCCCCCATTCCCCACTCCGTCCTCATCCTACCCACTGCCTCCTAGTTTTGCATGTCCCAGGTCTTGTCCACCTGCGGGAGGGAGAGAGGGAGTGGACAGGAGACCACGCAGGTCCAGGGAGGCCTTGCTTACCTTCTCCCAGAGGGTCCAGGCTGTGAAGCATGAGCCGGTAGATGGTGCTGCGGATGGTGCTGTTGTGCAGAGAGGTCGAGCTGCTCCCTCGGGTCAGCATTGCTGGGAGCTGAGCAGGGGAGAGCCGCACAGGCCTCAGTGAGCCCCTGCCCAAGCCAGGGGAGGAGCCACACAAGGGCCTCCCTAACCCTGCCTCCCTCCCATAGAGCTCAGAACAAAGCACAGGAGCCTTCTCCTGGCCTCCCTTCTCCCTTCCCCTCAGTGAGAAGAGTTACATTCTGCTTTCTTTCTCAGGCTCCTCTCACTCTTCCATGACTGGCTAATTTTACATACCAAATAATTCCCCAAGGTCTCAACAGGGAGCAGACAATGTGTACTAAGCATAACACATTACCAAGGGTTTGTCCTTCCCTGAAAATGCACTGTCATAGAAACACACACCCACACACAGCACAGATGGACCCCTGTGCACGGGCACAGCCCTTTACAGTCCACAAAGCATCATTGCGCTTTATCGTTGCCCCACCCCCAGATAAGCAAGGCTGTGACCCCCTTCTACAGAAAAGGACATGGAAACTCAACGAGGCTAGGTGATTTATCCAAGGTCGTGTGGGGAGTAAATGAAAGTATCAAAATGGGCACTCAGGTCTTTTGATTCCCAGTTCAGTCCTTTTTTCTACGCACAGGTGCTCAAGAGACCTTCGTAGGTGCACACATACACACATCTGTACATGCAGATACCCAGATGTGACACACATAGAAATATCATCTGATGTCCAAGGGAACATCCAAAGACAGACTGACACTTGCTCTGTCCCTCCCCCACGCTCCCCACGCCACCCCCATCCCTCTGGATCTGAACTCTTCTGCCATCTAGTGGCTGTGGTAACACAGTACTTCATAACAGCTCTGGGGATTTTCTTCAGATGAAGAAGGTTTCAGTCAGGCCCCAGACTCTCCCTTCTAAGGTTCCCATAATTCTCCCCAAATATCCCATAGGCCAAAGCAGCCAAGATACAGTTTTTCAGAAGCCTCAGACCCCCACATGCCCCCAGTGCCTCTCCTATGTTTCTCTTATTTCCAGGGCATCCCAAAGCCACAGGTAATTGGGCTTTGAGATCAATTCTAAATGTTGGGGCTTGAGTTCATCTAGTCCAAACAGTCATTTCACAGATGCAAAAGCTCACACAGCAAACTAGTGGTGGAGCGAGCAGTGATGTTCTGGCCTCAGCTCCCAAACAAGCACCTCAAGCACCTCGTCCAAGGCCACCTTAGAGGTGACAGTCCTGTTGGCAGAGGAGCTGGCGCCTTCCCTGGCTCATCCTGACAGCACTCCCTGGGGCTTCCCAAGCCTGAACCCGGCCCAGCACCCCCAGCATCAGGGCCACAGGGCCTCTGAGACCCTGCAGCGCCCCCTCTGGGCAGACTCCACATGGCACCCACCTTTAGCTTCTTGTTTTCCTGCAGCTCATCCACCGCAACTGCCCCATTGCCTGGCTGCAAACAGGGACAGGAGTCACGAGATGTCTGGAGAGACCCTTGCTCTCTCTCCCTAATTCTCTCTCTCTCCAAGGAACCCTCAGTTTGAGAAACACACCCAGAGAGAACCTGGTCTCAGGACATGTTTTCACATGTGCAAACCCCAGCCTGGCCTTTCACAGTCTGGCTTCAGCCCCCCGCCCCCCACAGTCTTCTTAAATGTATCCACTCACGACAGCCCACTACCACCAACCGTCTCTCAGTCCCTCAAATGCACCGTCTTTACCTGCTGTGAAACCCTCATCACAGGGTCCCTCCTCCCATGTTTGGAACCCTCTCTCCCTCACTCCCCATAGTTCAGGCCTCCATTTACATGTCACCTTCCTCTGTGAGGTTAAAGTGCTAATTATTTTTTATATGCTCCTGTTCTTTTCCTTCATAGCACTTTCCTCAATCTAGTCTTGTTTTTAATAAACAGACAAATAAATCAACTGCCCCACTAGCATCTTGAAGGTAGATTGCCTCTTTCATTCACCACCATGTGTTCGGCGTGAAAACACTCTTGAGCACTTAGCAAAGGTTCAATAAATATTTGTTGAATTAATGCATGGATGAACCATCCTGTAACTACACCCAATCTATTCGAGCTCCTGTTCCCTTGTTTACACCTTTTCCCTCTGCATAAAATGCCTCATCCATTCCCCCATGTCTCCAGTTTTTCAGAAAATTCACGGTGAATACTTCTATAAAGCTTTCCTGAATGGCCCCTTCCCCCGCCCCCACTCACTCCAGCTCACTACAATACCTCTCTCTTCAAAAGCTGTATAACAAGAGTAAGCACATTTTGTGTTACCAAAACCTGGCTCTGTGATCAAGTAAGTGCTAGTGTCCTGGGGAAGCTGTAGGGCAGCCATCTGGGAAATGAGACAGCCCTAGAAAAATCCAAGATGAAGAATCATTAAACCCGCAGTAACTATTGTCTGGACCACTAGCTTTCCACCTGGCATTTATTGCTTTATAATGCTGTTTGAACTTTTAAAAGAATCATTTAAAAAAATTTTTTTAATGTTTATTTATTTATTTTTTTTTTCAATGTTTATTTATTTTTGGGACAGAGAGAGACAGAGCATGAACAGGGGAGGGGCAGAGAGAGAGGGAGATACAGAATCGGAAACAGGCTCCAGGCTCTGAGCCATCAGCCCAGAGCCCAACGCGGGGCTCGAACCCACGGACCGCGAGATCGTGACCTGGCTGAAGTCGGACGCTCAACCGACTGCGCCACCCAGGCGCCCCTGTTTATTTATTTTTGAGAGAGAGAGAGAGAGACAGAGGGGGAGGGGGGAGGGGCAGAGAGAGAGGGAGACACAGAATCCGAAGCAGGCTCCGGGCTCTGAGTTGTCAGCACAGAGCCCAACGCAGGGCTCAAACCCACAAACCATGAGATCGTGACCTGAGCCTAAACTGGACGCTGAACCGACTGAGCCACCCAGGTGGCCCTAATAGAATCATTTTTTTAATTTTGCCATATGTGAGTTATCTACCCAGCTTGACTCCATATTTTTTTGAACTTACGATATAGTCATCTGTTCCCCAAGCCTGTGGCATAGGTTCTTGTACACAGGAGGTGCTCACTAAAGGTGAGTTGAATGAGGAGCTACTCCTAAGTGGCTTCCAGTACTATCTTCAGGTGGCAGGGTCACTGATAGCTGCCCCCAGTAATTGTCTTCCCCTCCTCACTGCCGGCCTCCATGGCCAGAACTAGAACTGGACTTGCTCTGTATCTCCTGTCTGTGTTTCAGCTCAGAAAATAAAGAAAACCCTGACTGGGCCAGAAAGGAATCGGGACCAATTCTATCTCCAGATAGAAAGCAGAACGTGATTCAAGAAATGAGAAGGTCAGATAAAGGTGCGGTGGTTGGAGGGACGAGGAGGCTTCCAAAAGTAAGTAGAACTTGGGGTGCCTGGGTGGCTCAGTCGGTTTAGCGTCCGACTTCAGCTCAGGTCATGATCTCACAGTTTGTGGGTTCAAGTCCTGCTTTGGGCTCTGTGCTGACAGCTCAGAACCTGGAGCCTGCTTCAGATTCTGTGTCTCCCTCTCTCTCTGCCCCTCCCCCACTCACGCTCTGTCTCTTTCTCTCTCTCAAAAAATAAATAAACATTAAAAAATTGTTTTTAATGTAGATAGAATCTGAGTAAGCTTTGAAGGATGGGGGAGGTCTGAATGCTGGATATACACTTGAATAAATAAACAGATGGATGAACAAATGAATATGCAAATGAATGAAATGGAGCAGAAATAACCAATCTGCATCTGAAGGGAGCACTCTAGATTTCTTGAACAAAGCCCCTGACTCTTTCGTGACACACCTGTAAGTTCACTGGGATACTGGAAGCTATAGCACCGACCCCCAGTGGCCCAGCCATCTCACTGTTTATCATGTCCCACCCACACCCAGTGAGTTTTTGGAGGTAACAAACTGTGAGGAGCCAGGCTGCCCTTTGGGGTAGCCAGTTCTGTCCTCAGAGGAGCAGGAGAGATTGACTTTTGCCCCATGATGTACAGGCCTCCTGATTTTTCTGCTATTCAGGTTTACTCAAGCCAAAGTACTTCTCTAGGAGCGCATCATTCTTTGCACACACCAATATCTTCTCCCTTCAGCATGTACTTCTAACCTTCTGACACCTTTCACATCCACTTTCTCATCCAATACCGCCAACCCCGTGAAGTAGACAAGGTTAGCGCTATTACTGCTTTTTGATAGATGGGAAAACTGAGATGCAGAAAGAGCCCGGGGCTTGCCCACACTCACAGAGACAGTGTCAGAACTCCGATCTCCATTGGAGGGAGATATTTGTTGCTGTTGTTGTTTACGAACTCCTATTTCTTTTCCCAAGGTATTGAGGTAAAAATCTCTATTCCTTAGTGGCTCTGCAAATTATTGACATTTTAGATAAATGGACATAAGTGTTTGCCTACTTTTAGGTGTGGACGATGGGTCCACTTACAGGAAGCAGTCCGGCAAGTGGGTGCATTCAGAATATGCCCTTAGTACAAACACATTTCATATCCACCTCTCACACCAACCCAGTGCCCCTCCTCTTTCTTCAGCCTCATCACCCCACCCTCCCCTTCTCCTCACGAAAACTAGCAAAGGGGCTGAGGAAACCAAAGAGGATGTCTCCATGCCAGCCAAAGCCCCCAGCACCTGCATGGTATCTTGCTGAGGTTGAGCAATAGGACCCCTTGCTGCCATTCATGGGAACCTGGGATGGCAAATATGGCAGGCCCTCAGGGGGCTTCCCCTCCTGACTTCCAGTTTCTGTTTCCCACTGATGTAGCAGTTAATCATTGACCTCTCCCCTTCTAGACCATCCATGACACATTTTCTGAACCATGTATTTTAGCCTCTGTTGTTATTGTTGTTTTAAGATTCATTTAACAAATATTTACTGAGTCCCTGGTCTGAGTCCTGCCTTCACCGAGGTTAGACTCTAATAGGGGACTCTTCACTCTAGCCCTTTGCTGAGTACAGTCTTGCATCCGGATCCACTCATTTGTCTAGGCTGGAAACCCAAAAGTCTACCCAAATTGCTCCCTCTCCTTCACAGCCCAGGTCCAGTCAGCTGTCAGATCTAGTTACTCAAAGTCCTCACTTGTGGCCTCGTGTCTCCACTCTTCCTGCCTACAGTCCTGCAAGCCTCTGACTCCTGATCTGTTCCTCTTGCAGCTCATTCTCCACCCCTCAGCCAGAGTGATTTTCTGAACAAAGCACAAATCATGTCCCTCCCCTACATCCTGGGGGTTTACTGTCCTCATGAGGGAGTCCAGACTCCTTGGCTGAGCACACACTAGCCTCCTGCTTACCTCCAGTCCAGCACTGTCCAACAGAAATAGAATGCAAATCATATACGCAAACGTAATTCCTGTAGCAGCCCCATGTTTTTAAAGTAAAAGAAATGAGTGGAATTGATTTTAATAATATACTCTAGCCCAATATACTAAAAATATTATAATTCAACATGTAATTAATATCATTGAGCTATTTTACTCCCCCCCCCCTTTTTTCATCATACCAAACCTTTGAAACCCAGTGTATATTCTATACTTAACAGCATAACTCAGTCGGACCAGCCCCATTTCAAGAGCTCTGTAGCTACGTGTAGCAACTGGTCCGTATTGGACAGTGCGGCTATATCTCCTCACGGTGTCTCATTCCCTCGGCCTCTCCACAAGCCCAGGAGAGTCCTGGCCCCAGCTTCAGTCAGCCACCCCCTGCTGGTCCTTCAAGATTCTGTTAGACATCACCTCCCGGAGGAAGCCTTCCCTAACTCTCTGGTCTGTTGAGGTGTCTAACCCCTCAGCAGTACCCGCCACAGTACTAAGCCCCTCAGTGCTTTCCTATACCATTACAGGTGATATTAACTTTATTTATTTACTTTGGGGGTGGGTGGGGGAGAGAGAATCCCAAGCAGGCTCCACACTGCCAGTACAGAGCCCGATGCAGGGCTCAACTCACAAACCATGAGATTACGACCTGAGCCCAAACCAAGAGTCAGATGCTCAACTGACTGAGCCGCCCAGGTGCCCCTGAAATTATCTTGTTTTTACTTGTTTATCATCCATATGCCCTCTCCCCCACACTATTAATGTTGGTTTTCTATTTCCAAGTTATTCAGGTGGTAGAGCATCTAGAAATCATGCTGTTACTTGTAGAACACCATGTATATCTAATCTCATATTTAATCCCATCATTTTCAGTATGAGAAAATATTACTGTGTTGCATGAATGCATGTAAAATCTCAATTATAAGCACACATGCATTCATGGAAACAAGCTATTAGACCAGGCATGATCAGGTTCTTGAGTTCTGTTCATATTTGTTTCTTACACATTCATTTTGTCATCTGCCAGCACTGACTAGCAGGTGAACACTAAAAAAATTTTATGACGAAAAGAAGGCTTAAAATTGAGAATTGTACTCATACCAACTTTTTGTGACAACTGGGGTGAAGCTAA